CTGTCAGTTTTCTACCAGTCATATTTTAGTTTCATTAAAGCAGGAACAAAATGTTCTAGCCAGAAACGAGGGAACATATACCAGCAAATGACTGAATTCAGTGTTTTGTAATGCCGTTTGTTTCTAAAGCTTAGTGCTTTGTCAAAAACATGCATTAATCATCCTGTTGTTAAAGTCATCTGTGCGTCATAACCTGTCGGTCTGACAGATGATGAAGTGCAGCTTACACTGTCTTGATATTATTTTACTCCAAAAAACAAAATCCTGTATATCACATCCTGCAAAGCATCTCTAATCACTCTCTCTCGCTCTTTCTCTAATGTGTATTTTCATTTATGGAAGTTAATATAAAAAAAACTTCATAGATCAAACTTTAATCAGCCTTGAGATTTTGAGCTCAACTGTTCATTGGTGCCCTTGCATTTGTCTTGAGATATTAAAAAATAAATAAAATAAATCTTGGAATTAATTATTCCATTTTCACAATTAAAATTCAGGAAAAATAAATTTTAACTATTTAGTTCAAGGTCATGCAGTCTCACATCAAATATTCAAACTGCCTCTGGTGTATTTGTGTGTGTGTGTGTGTGTGTGTGTGTGTGTGTGTGTGTGTGTGTGTGTGTGTGTGTGTGCAGCTGGCCAAAGAAGAAGAGTGGAACCAGTTGCCTAATGGAGAGTACACCACAGCTGAAGCTCGTCCTAACGCGTACATCCCCCAGACCGACTCTCTTCCTCTGCCCAAACCCTATGGATCCCAGGCCCCCTTCAAACCCCCCCAACCAGGAGCCAACATGAGACACATCCGCAAACCAACAGTCAAACCCTTAGAGATATAGGAACCAATATACATGTTTGCACATCAAGACTACTGTGTATTCATGAAGTTGGAGGCTGATTTTTAATCAGAATCCACACATTTCACATCAGTGTCCCTCCGAGACATTGAATCTTCACTACAGGAATCAGCAGAAATTCAAAAATAAATGAAAGTTTTAATTTTTAATATATTTTCTGGGGCATTTTTTTCTTATTCCTTTCACACATTTATTGATCTATCTGCTCTCTCTCGCTCCTTCCTCCTCCACTTCTCTGCTTCCTGTGTATGTTTTCGTCCTAACTGTCCAGCATACCACTGCTGTTTTGTCATTTGTGTGTGTACTCGTGGACTGCATCTGGTTGTGATTTTTGTTTCCCTTTTTTTTGTTGTTTTTTTTACATTTACTGGCAAGAACTTGTTTACACGCTGCTTGCTGTAACACTAAGTACTGTAGGAGAGTGGAAGGGAAGACAGAGGACATGGGGGAAATTAAATTTGTGTTTATTATTGTATCATGTTCACCAACAGGAAGTTTTGTATTTATTTCTGTACTCAACACATCATCATTGTCTCACTACCTTTCTCTTAGAAAGAAATTCATTTCACATATTTCTACATATTCTTCATCTTGTTACTGTTTCATTCCTCGCAGTTGTAATCATGCAGCTGATGAATAAATTGCAGTGGATTTAAGCTCTAAGCTAGGCTAAGAGTGGCTGCCTAATGTCTGAAATGATAAATATAAATATGGAGAGGAAGATCAGGCAATGAAAGAGCATAGAGAATGACAAAGAGAGAGGAGAATTTAAATGAAGAGGAATGAGATGGCTGTCGGAAAAGGCAGCAGAGGAGAGTCGGGGAGGGGAAAATGGATAAAAGTGGAGAGTAAGTGGGGTGGAGAGTTCAGAGTTGGTTACTGGAGACTGAAAACAAAGTCCCTAGCCTCTGAAGTTTCTTAAACCTTACTCGAAGTCGTCGTATCTGCTGATCTTATGAGTGTGTTTTGCAGCTTGTGAGCATGTGTGTGCTTGAGAACCAAGTTCATGTGGGGGCTAATGCTGTGTATGTATGTACACATATTTGTGTTTTGGAAAAAAATAAACTTCGGAATAGAATTATAAAGTGGTGTGATTGATGTGTGGTAAATTTATTGTCACAAGAACCAGTAAGCTAACAATAGATTGACTCCCCAGTACATGACTCCCACAAAGTATGAGTCTGTTGTGACACTCGTCGTGAGTACATGAGAAGCAGTTAGCAAGCTAATTAGCAAGCTAGCTAAAAACAATGGATAAATGGTTAAAATAGTCAAATGAAAGCATGAAAGTAATTTATTAGAATTACCATAATTAGCTAAAAGTTACTGGATAAACACTAAGTTATGAGCCAAAAGAAACTGATAGTTGTATTACCAAAAAAAATGGAGCAGTAAAAACAGTTATCATTACTTAAAGTAATGGATAAATGGTGAAATGGGTAACTAGCTAAAAGCAATGAGCAAACAGCTGAAATAGTAAGCTAAAAGTAACTGTTGACAGCTAAAAGTAAAAGATAAACTGCTGACATAGTTTGTTAAAAGTGATGGGTTAACAGTTAAAAGGAATGGATAAATGGTAGAAACAGGAAACTAAAAGTAATGCAAAATCGTTTAAATAATTAGTTACACCCAAAAGTCTGTATATAGTAATGGATAAACAGTTTCACAGTCATATAAAAGTGATGGATAAACAGTCGACTGCGCCGGTGAAGGTGTACTGAAGCTAATACAGGATGCGGGGTATGTCAGACAAAAATGTTTGGAAACCTCTGGTGTACACCGTGTTGAGCTTGATTTGCAAAACACGCTGTGTGAGTCAACTTCTTAAGAGGTTCAAGAAGGCAGCAGGCGAGAGTTTATCTGATTTCGAGCCAGCCCTGTCCACCCAGTGATGTGGTGTGTGTGTGTGTGTGTGATGATCCATTGCGGGCTGATGGTGAGAGCTGTCAGATTAATTTAGCCCCCTTACTGTTTGTGCTTATTAGTCAGCTACATAACACCGGCTGCATAACAAAGTGTGGGGGAGGCAATCAAGTGGGGAATGAGCAATTTGTTCACGTTTAAAAGAGGAATTCCCCAGAGGAGAAATGATCTGAAGCAAACTGTAACGAGGCGGTGTTGTAACTCAGGCTAGAAAAAAAACCCAAAAAACTAGGTAGGTATTGTAATACAAGCGTGTACAAAAGCGTGATGGGTGTGTTCTTCACTAAATGTGACTCAGCGTGTGTGATGACTGATGCTGAGATTATTTCCTGACTTCGGTGGAACTCTGCTGAGTCTGTCCAAAACACTCAAATATTCTCAAGAATATGAGCACTCACTTCCTCCTCTGCAGAGCTTTTCACGCTACAAACTATCTGACTGCGAGTTCAGATCGTTTCCTAATTTATCTCAAGGCTCCACTGTGCAATTAGCACTTTTTTTCAGGGTTCACAGGAAATTCAATGGAAACAAAGTGAGCCAAGGCCTGACTTACCACAGAGCTTCTCTGTGCTCCATGTTCTTCAAAAATGAGGAAGAAAAGAAAAATACAGTTAAAAAAAATCTCTTTATTCACATTTCATCTTACAAAACTTTTTTTTGTGTAAACAAACGAAACATGAGTGGCAGAGAAATCCCTTTTTCCTCAGACTAGGAATGTTATGTAACTTCTCGAAATCGAAGCACAACTTGAGATGTAAATAATCTCTGGTATTAAGTCTCGGCTGCTGCGCAGGGTGCCAATACTCTGACACTATAAAAAAAAAAAAAGAAACTATGATTTTTAATTATGAACACACACAAACACAACACAGACGCACAACCACCACTACCAAAGAATTTCTCCGCTCAGTTGTGATTGAGGGCACACACTCATGTTAATCAAACCAGACCTTTGAGCATCTGTGTGTGTGTGTGTGTGTGTGTGTGTAGACCTCAGTTCTTATTGCTTTATTTACCCTGTACTATCTTATTTGTTTAATGGTTTGCCAAGCATTTTCAGACTGATTTTGCAATGTGCTATACAAAATAAAGTTATTGTCAAGTCACTGAAGTCTGCTGTTTCCCCCTCATGTATTATGTATCATATATAATCTATTAATTATTAAGTAGAGCTGGGAGTCTTTAATATTTCTGTATAGCACAGAGTATCAAACACTAACTTTAAGTGACAATTATGAGATAATGGTAAATGCTAAAACATCATGTGACACCAGTCAAAACAGGAAGAGTAATAACCGGGACAGGCTATATAATCTTGAAAATCCTTCTCGCTCATCTGCCACTCCTCATTCAGACTTGGATTTAAATTCAGATTTAGATGAAGAATTTGCACATTTAGTTTACAACACCTAAATATCTTCCAGTGAGTCCTGCCGACTCACACCTCGGCCACGTCCTACTGAGACAATTCTGTATAACTCCCGTGCTGAAATCAGATTAGATGCATAGCAGCTCCTGCCTGAACATATCAAGCCACTCCGTCTATCGAAGCTTTTTGTCGGTGTGTAATCAAGTTGATGGGGCTGCAGCGGCATTACAGGAAGCACGGGAGGATAAACAATCGTGTTTGATTTATAAATACTGTTTGCAGGATTTGACGTCGATGTTCATAAATTGTTTGAGAGACAGCGGAGAAGCTGAGGAGGCGCTGGAGGGAAGCGTTGCAAGCTACAGAAATTGAGTTAATACAAATAGCTGCCTGCAGTTATTGATTTTCAATAAATATTTGAAAAGCATATTTCCTGAAATTGAAGTACATCACCTACTGAAGATCTTTTGGTTACTGTTCATACCGTCCCTCCCACAGCTCAGGATTTATAAGAAACAGGGTGAGCATTTTTTCACCTGCTCTGCCTCCCCTACTCTCCCCTCAGATCTGTCCTCTCTCCATCCATCTATCCCTCCGCCCCACCCCGATTTGTCATCAGCCATTGAGAGCTTGTTTACGAGCGCTCTGCCTTTCAATCTCTCCATTCATCTCTCACTCCTGGCTCCTCCATCATCCACCCAGCCGTTACCTGTCCTCAAGGCCACAGTCAATGATGACTGTGCTCTCAAATGCATTTTCCCCCTCATCTGTTTCTCCCTCAACCCATCCATCCATCCATCCATCCACAATAACCCCCCCCCCCCGTTCCCGCCGCCGCCTCCTCCTTCCTCCACATTCTTCACTTTGTATCAAAGCCCAGCAGTATTAGCGTCTGTTTCAGAGCCGTCTCCTCCACGAACCTGGCGTCCACGTTCTCCGTCTCCTCGAACGGGTTCAAAGCTAGAACAGAGGCGGAGCAGTTAGAGTGAGATGCAGCTTATTATAGAGGATGCAACAGACACACACACACACACACACACACACACATACATACATACACACACACATACTTCCTTCTTTTTTTCATGATGGAGACTGCTGCATTTTGACCAAGCATACACATAAACGCACACTGAATACACACACTGTCTTAATCCTCCAAAGGCCTCTGTATCTAAACCCATCCCACACACACACACACACACACACACAAATATACACTACCTTGTTCTTCTATATCGGAGAGTATTTTTGCCAGGTAGGTAAGAGGAAGAAACTCAGGTCTGAACCCAGGCTTGTCTCTGCTGGTGAATGCAAAACCCTGAGGAAGGAAGAAAGGAAGGAAGGAAGGAAAAACACAAAAACAAACATTTAAGAAAAATCTGCAACAAGTCCAGAAACCAGTCACCATAACGCACTTGTTTCCATTTAAGTTGGCTGCAGTTTAGCTTTTTTAGACCTCAGAACTCTTATCTGTGATCGTACGCCATGCTACTGGTCTGCTGTGAGCCAATTAGCCGATAGCATCATGAAGTAGAGAGATGCTGTGTTAGCTGCATTTATTTTATAAAAAAAAAACACGGAGGACATTTTTTCTTCTGGAGTTGTGGCCTTGCAGAAAAGAACAATTTGGGGGGGGCTTTAGGACAAGAGAGGCCACAGCCCATCACCATTTTCCAGAAGAAATGTTCATTTAACTCTTTTTTTTTCCTGTCAGGAAGTCTCTCCCCCTATTGTGTGTGTGCGTGCATTGTGTTTGCCAGGCTGCAGTGCATTAAGTGTGAGAGAGAGAGAGAGAGAGAGAGAGAGAGAGAGAGAGAGAGAGAGAGAGAGACAGGGTGATGCACTGTGCTGTGTTACCTTGGTGTTGCTGTGTTTCTCCAGCAGAGTCCTGACGTAATCTCTGGAGATTGAGGCTGAACTGACAGGATGATCCCACATATGGTAGATCCTCTGCTCCATAGGCTACACACACATACGCACACACACACACACACACACACACAAACACACAATAGAGTTTATATTTTAGGCATGTAGCTCATGTTGTCATAAAAAAAAAAAAATCATCCCTGGAGCATGTGAACATCTGTGCCTCTCTATTTTGCCAACTGGAACTCAAACCCATTACGAGTCCACTGCTAATGAGTTTCCGCAGAAATCTTATTTTTCAGTGTTGTGCAAAGCGCACCGCAGTAATAAATACATCTTAAGCAAACAGAGTCTACTGGTGTGACTGACAGTGAGAAGGAATGCAGCTTTTCCTCGAGGCTGCTTTTTCTGTCCGGCTTCAAACGCGCTGCCAGGTTGATCCGGAGCTGCTGAAGGATTGTGTTTCCATCAGAGGTGAGAAGAAACAAGTTGAGAGAACAGCACAGCCAGCTCCTGACAAGTTCCTCAGATTCATTAATACATTTTTTCTTTCCTGCATAATCAGGGCTAAAAGTACTTTCAAGAACATGCAGCTTTTTGAAATTAGTTATGATTATTTGTAAAAGAAGCAGGTAATGTGGATCAAACCTTCTGTCACGGTTTATGTAATTTTATCTCATGATATTCGTCTTTTTCCAGAAGTTCAACTGAGAGACCATTTATACATACAGTGACATGATATCAGAACATAACCATTTCATGTCCGGACCACTGCTGGTTCCTTAGGACAGTGATTCCGAACCTGGAGGTCAGGGCCTCCTGGAGGGGTCGCAGTGTTTGATGTTTAACAATAGAAAGCTGTTTATTTTGAGACTTCTCGCTCAAATTTGAATGACCATTATATTTGACCTCTTGCGGATCATGACAATTGTTCATCTTTGAGGGAAGATTCAGTCTTTGGTTGAACTAGTTCACATATGCAACGTGTGACAAGAGTAAACGTAAGTTTGTTTTCAGGGACGAAAAGCTCGGGGGGGGGGGGGAAAAGAAAGGGGGCCTTGTGAGAAGAATTATTATTAAGCCATAACACTCAAATAAACTGAAAAGAATTCAACCACCCAACTGTAACGCGGCCCTAAAAACCTTGAGAAGAATTTCCAGATTCATCTCCATATTACAATAGGGAGATGATCATGGTTCAGCAAGCTGAGGAGAAGATCTACATCTATAAATCTTTACACTCTTTTTCCGCTTTACATCTGGACTGAGTTTTCACCAGCTGATCATAAATCCATTGATACGTTTGTGGGTGAAGTCCAACTACCAACAAGTTTCAAACTATGTGATTTGCTGATCCAGGCTGTACAGGTGAACTTAACAAAGGTCTAAGCTCATGAATAATAAATGATAGGAACCGCTTCGTGTGTTGGAGCCTGTTTTAATTCACTGATGCCTAAAATCTCCGTTTAGTAAACATTAACATTATTGTGTAAGTAGTATAGAAGGCTTAAAGCTATGAAGAAGCTAATGCTACAGGCTCCTGATCCCCTGTGTATCTGCTACTGCAGAAATCTGAAATATAATTTGAAGGTTTAGTGGAATCCTCTGGACGTTACACACATTATTAATGAGAATTATGGAGGTGCTGGGTTTAGTCAAGGTACAAATCTCCAACAGTGGGCGAACCTTTCCTGTTTTCTAACTCTATCAGTGTGTGTGTGTGTGTGTGTGTGTGTGTGTGTGTTGTACCTGCTAAATCTCTCCTGCCTGCCAAACTCACCCAACAAAAAGTCTGACAGGCAGGAAACAGAACAGAGACACTAAACACTCAACATTCCTCTGATCACAATGCGGACGGAACACACACACACACACACACACACACACACACACACACACACACACACACACACACACACAGAAATATACTGTACCCACACGGGAACACGTGGAAGTTACACAACAGTTAAGACACAAACACACACACTAAGTAGACAACTACCTACACAACTCCCCTTCCCGACACACACACACACACACACACACACACGCACGCACGCATACACACTCAACCAGCCAGTTACACAAGCGCTTTGTGATTGGCTTGAGGGGGGCTTGAGGGAGATGAGAACTAAAATAACTTCAAACTCTTAATTGGACCAGAATGGGAAGTTTGGGGAGAGAACCATTCGAGAAAAGATCAAACCCCCCCCCTCACTCAAAGACAGGATTATAATGGCCACATGCATTGTTAAACTCCTTCCAACCATCCAAGCATTAGAGTTTCACTCCAGTCAAAACGACTGGTACGTTTCATCTCTAGTCCTCCAGGTTCGTTCACTCACACACGTGTCGTCATTCGGAGTGGCTGATAAACCCGGACTGCTCCTCATCTCTGCGTAACAAAAAATACGTTGTGTTGGGCCAGGCACACACACACTCGAACGCACACATAACAGAAGTACCTCAGGGAGTCTCTTGAGTATGCTGAACTTGAGTCTCTCGTTGGCTTCACTGTTGTCCAGATCTAAACCCCAAAAAAGAGAGGAAAAGAGAGGAGATGTGACGCTAATTACTCTTCATAAATCTGACACGGGATGCAACGTTACACATTCTCTCTGCGCTTGTCACTCTTTCTGTTTTTGTAGAAATACTGTAAGTAAAATAAATGCCGATGCAATCATCAAAATCCCAGATTACGAAGTGGTCGGCCAATCAAGAACTTTTCCCCCCATGTGTTCCAGGAAATAATGTATCTATGGTTACCACATGTAGGCAGCGTATCAAAGGTCTGCACCCAGTTTAAGGATGACTGGTTGGACTGAGAAAAACTCACATGAGCAAAAATAAATAAATAAAAAAAATGTTTGTGTGTGTTTGTAATGAGGCAGAAAGTGCACACCAGTTGAATCTTGAGTGGATATATAGATATTTGATTGCTCCCCGGGGAGAAGTGACGCACGAGCCCTCTCACTTCAAAGTCATGAAACGGCCTTTTTCTCTCACTTTTAAGTTCGGACTCTGCCCCTTAAAATAATCCTTTCATCTTTTGAAGATCTTTTGTTGCGTTCATGAGAGAGAACGGTGTAAACTACAGCGAGATCAAGAGCGACGAGGAAGGGCCACATATTTCGGTTCTGTTGATTTCAGCGCCTAGTCGCGGGGTTTGTCCTTTGAACAATGTGCTTTTCCTCCGCTATGCAATCCACAAAATACACATCAGCAGTCGCCTTTGAGCGAGGTGATGAATGTACCTTCACCAAGAGCTCTGGTGCTTGTGTCATACAGTGTGTCGTGTGTCGTACTGGTAAAAACCCCCACACAAAACATGTCGCAGCTCTGTGGTGTGACCTGCTTTTACAGCTTCAGTGATTAAGAGTTATTTATTCTTCAGCTACAACCATTAACAGGAAAAAAAAAATTACATGAACTTATTATTATAAAAATCTAATTGAGTTATTGTTCAGTTTTTTTTTGATTAATCTATTCATTAAGTCAGTACGAAATAAAAGCAACATTTTTAAAAAGTAACTCCAATTAAAATAAAAATTAAGAGTAGTGAAATAAAATGTCACAATAACTAAACTGGGTTTTAATAATGTATTTTATATGTATAATTTACGTTATGGCATCATTCGGCTGTTTATTTTCATCCCTGCACTCTTATGTCCTATTCATCTGTTTCGTATTGAGCACTTTAAAGCTCCATACTAGACACGTTCACATCTGTTTGTCACAGTTACTGTCCTGTGGGTTTTTCGGGTGTATTTCAGAAAGTAGTTCATTACAGGTGTGGTACGGCTCAGCCACCTGTGTGTCAGTTGTCAAACATCATCTGATGCTATGCAGGTCAAAAAAAAACAACAACAACAACAACAAAAAAACTAAGAGCTTGCTTACAGCCACATTAGCGGCTCTGTGAGGCTGTAGTTTAGACACACTGGTATTCTTTTCAAAGGTTTAGAGAAAGTTGTGCGATCAATGATTCCGCAAAATTTCAGTGGAGGTTGAGAGGTAGCTGTGGAGAGTGTGTGTGGGTCAGGCGCTGCTACCCAAGATTAAGGATTAATGTCCTTTTGGAACCTCTACTACTTAACTTTAAAACACAGTGGACAGTGTGCCTCTGAAGAATTGAGATTTACTCCTCAAATCAAATATTCCATATACACTTTTTCAGATATACAGCCAGTAAAGCACCTGGGCTGACTGCACAGGTATGAGCAGATATGGTTTGAGCAGCGCTGAGGCTAAGGTTTCGTAAAAAGTAAATTTTCCCCTCAAACACCAAGACCACAGCCCACCGGAGTGTGGGTATATATGTGCTGGTGTATTTCAGCAACAGCAACCAGGTCACAGACAGCCCGAGCTCGACTCAACAGTTCGGTTCTTCATCTTTCTTCTTCATTCCTCCACCATTTCCACGATGAGCGTTAACGAGAGCTCCAACACCTCCAGCAACAGCCCCCAATCCTCTGGATCCATCCCCGACCCCTGGTACATCGTGGCCGGTGTGATTCTCGTCATTTGTTTGCTCGGTATCCCCGCCAACATCATGGTGATAATAAAACTTAGCCGGCGTCTTCACGGCTCCTCCATCTCGCAGCGGCTCTTCTTCAACCTGGCAGTGTCGGACCTGCTGTGCCTGCTCTGTTTGCCTTTTGGCATGCTCATTTTCTACAGCGGATCAAATCTGACGTATGGCGTCTGTCGGCTTCTCTTTTACTTCTTCTTTTTCTGCGTCAGCTCCGACTTAAACATTCTGGTGCTGATCGGCCTTCAGAGATACTACCAGGTAAGGAACTACCAGTCCCACAGAGGGTTTTGTAAATCTTTTAGGTTTAAAAAAAAAAAAAGTAGCGCTAGGGATTTTGTTTGTAGGTTGTATTACCCTGTTTGTCTGATGATTTCAGGTCGGATCTAGTGTGAAATACGCTCAGAAATCCACCTTCAGATACAAAGAAATCACTGATTTATACAAATTGTGTAAAGTGGGACAAAAGTAGTAGATATCAAACTAAAAAAATGTCCATTCCATTTGGCAGATTCTTCACCCTAATAAGTGGTCCAAGCTGGACCGGACATGGCAGCGGCTTTTACTGTTCTCTGTGTGGATGCTCGCAACCCTGGAGGCTTTTCCAGTCGTGTTTTCACTAACAGACATTACAACCAAGAAAGGGTGGACCAGCACTCATTCCTGCAGCAATCACACAATCACACCGTTGTTCGAAGTGGTTTACATCACATTCATTGTTCTCAGCCACTTGGTCCTGCTGTCCTGCTATGTGCTACTTTTTCGAGGGGTCAACCGAGGTAAAATGGCCAAGAAGAAAGAGCCCAGAGCTACTAAACTTTTCATCCGAATAATCGCCGTATCCCTGGCCGTTGCCTTCTTTCCCTTCATTCTCCGTATGCTGTATGTGGTCGCTCTCTTCACGGATTCAGAAAAACTGCTTCGTGTTAGCAAGATGCTGACGTTTGTGGAATGTTTTTACTTTTTCAATCACTGTCTGAATCCATTCCTGTATTTCTTTGCGTCTCAGTATGGCAACAGAGACAGCAGCCAGAAGAATAACTTCCTTAATGACGACTAATATGACTGCTCGTGTGATCCCTGTATCGTAGCTTCATATTTTTAACAGACATCTGCTAAACTTAATCTCACTGATGGTCTTGGAAGTGCTGAATACTGTGTCAGTGTGAATACAAAACTTCTCTACTACTTCCATTTTTCTTCTCTGTACAGAAACCACATGATGTACAAAAGAATGCATAACAATTTTTAAACAATGATGATGCCATTTAATTATTTAGGATTATTTTGATTGTGCATTTTTGGGGTTTTTTTGCATTGTGTGCCTTTATATTAAAAGAACATTCCACAAAACAGACTGTGTGATTTACACCGGCTGAATGACTGAATGAGTCCAGCTAACAAGAGCTAGCCGCTGCATGAGGCTAAACGTACAGTGCGTCGAGCTAAATGCTAAACATCGGCATGCTAACGTGCTCACAATGACAACGTTAATATGCCGATGGAGAGATGTTTCTGTTCGACCACTGCCGTCTCCTGACTGCTGCTCCACATGTGCAGAATGACATCTTTCTTAAACAAACATACGCAAAGAGAGACTTAGCAACGTGTGTGTTTGTGAGTGTGTTTCAGGTGTGTGTGTGTGTGTGTGTGTGTGTACCTGTCATGAGGCGAGACAGAAAGGTTTCAGTGAGCTGGAGGAAACCGTGATCAATGTACTGTAGGAAGGTCTGATGAGGGAGACAGCGCACAGCAAGCACTGCTAAAAGGGTGTGATAGCCTGGGGAGGAGGAAGAAGAAGAAGAAGAGGAAGAAAAGACTTAGCTTTTAATGTTCCTGAAAACCACAAAGGAAAAGAAAAAGTAAAACAAGACTTAAGAGTGTACAGCCATGCTAGCAGCTATGACTCAGTATTCCTGCGGCTTTACAGCATTCACACTCACATTTACACCTGCAGCCTCAGTGTTAAGCGGGAGCTGCTTTGCTCCAGGGCACCTCTCATTTCCTTTCTCTCTCCTTTCTCTCTCCCAGTTATCCAGTGGGATTCTTACCCACAAAGTTTCACTCATGAGCAACTAAAATCATGGGATTGTGTAACAGGGGTGGGGTGGGGGGTTTATGCCACAAACACTGGAAAATGAATTCAAATGACTGAAAATGTATTCACACTCTGCTTTACCCGTGTCTGCACTATGCTAATGTTTAACATATTTTTGGTTATATTAGTGCAGACGAGAGTCTATTGCCTCTGTTGTCAGACGCACATTGTTATTCTGAGACAGGGAGACTGGATTATAACAACTAAAAGTGTGTGTGTGTGTGTGTGTGTGTGTGTGTGTGTGTGGTGGGTGGGTTTACCAGGTGGGAGTGGCAGGCAAAGACCCCTTGTGGCTTCCAAGATCCGAAACATGAAGTGAAACACAGACCATTCGGCCGGACTGCCCTGCTGCTTCCTGGAACACACACACACACACACACACACACACACACACACACACACACACACAAAAGTTTGGACGGGGATGTTATGTAACGTGAGCATAAGAGGGGTCATCACCAATTTGCACATGTGGACAACACACGCAGTAGGGAGTTTGATGGGGAGGGGGGGGGGGTCCGGAGCACACATGCGTGAAGATGAACACACACATTCTGTCAGTGCTTTACACTTTACATGACATTAGTTAGAAACATGACTTTTAAAGGAGACGCACACTGACGAGGGAGGGCTACTCACAAGCACAGAACACGAGGGCCCAGCTTGTACTTGAGCCAGACTGACTCCAGCAAGTGTCTGATGAGCTCCAGCTAAACACACACACACACACACACACACACACACACACACACACACACACACGTTAGTGCTTAGGGAAGGAGATGCTCGATTAGATTCAAATGAAACATTTTCTTCAACATGCAGCTGAGTCAGAGGCCTGGAAATTTTGCACTACACAAGCATCCTGTCTGAAAATATGCAATTTAGACATCTTTTTTTATTTTTTTTTTGCTATGACAACGTTTTCTTCATGGAAATGTACACTTGTTCTATGATCAATTTCCTCACTTCCCTCTTCTTTTTAATTCCTACTTCCCATTTTCATTTGAACTTAACAACAAGAACAACGCAGAGGGAACACACATTTCAGCATGCACACACTTATGCCCCCCCCCCCCCACACACACACACAAACACACACAAATCATTTCACCACACATCTGACAGCATCCAGGATCATTTGAAGGTACTCGACTCGTCTGAAGCGTGCCTCCTGTGTGCTGAAACACACACTCATCGTTTCCACGAATGACCGCTCTCTCATCTCATGCTGTAGAATAACAGGAAAACGATCTGCCTCATTCACATCCTGTGCAGCAGTGGGAAACCCTCCGCCAGAAATGTCCTCCAGTGACCTCAGGGTGGGAATTTCAATTAGCGTCATTTATGTGACAGATTTGCCCAAGAATAAAATTAGTGTTTAATGTTTTTTTTTTTTTTTTCACTTCTGCACAGATGTGATGTTTTTTCACAAAAAAAGAAACTTGTTTGCGTCTGTTATACTGACTGAGGAGACGGAATGGAAAATCACACTGGTGATTCTGCATCTGTTAAAGCCACGGTGACTGAAGTCATGTCCGACCCTGTTGAGGTGGAGACAGGTTGAGAAACTATCAACAGTGTGTGATTTTTCATGCCATATTTTTCTTTTGTTTCCCCCTTCATGTTGAAAATAACTTTTATTCTTTTATTTTTCTATTTAGTTCAAATTTTTATCATATTCATTATTATTATATATATTTTTTCTTTCATATTTATTCCTATGCCTCTGTGCCAGTGACGGCCATGGCATTAATGTTTGCAGGTTGTTCATCCGTCCCATTCTCCTGAACGCCATATCTCAGTGACACCATGATGGAACATTCCCCTGGAGTCAAGGACGAACTCATTAGAATTTGGTGGTCAAAGGTCAAAGGTCAAGGTTACTGCTGTTGTTCTCATTATAATTTCTTTCATTTTTATCATTTTCATTTATCTCAAGCTGAACGATAAACAAAAACAAAAACTGCACTTGGCCATATTGCATTTTCAACAATATTTTGATGAATTGTTCAGACTTTCATTACATTTCTTTTTTCTCTTTTGCCCTTTTCTTTTCTTTTCTTAATCATTTCATTTGTTTCAGATACATCTATTATCATTTATCTCATTTCTCTTGGTGGCAGCTCTTTTCCATGTGTTGGTTCAAGTTCTATTTCAAGAGAATCCAGTCTTTATGTGTTCATTCATTTTATCTGTGTAAAGACGGGAGTCAATGTGGTTGAGAAAACTGAAGCTGGTGCATATAGTATTCACTTGTCTCTGTGTGACCCATCGACACGTGCTACTCTTGTTTTTAATCAGGGAGTCACAGTAAATCAATATAGGCTTTTGTGTTTTAACAAAGCAGTGTGGCTTGATTTTGACAGTGGTTACTTACCCCGAGGAAACCTCCCTTGTTCTTAATTTTTGTCACATGGAAATTGACAGCTAGATTCAGGGATTTATATTGGCGGTTTTGTAAACACAGATAATAGAAGCAGTACTACAAAAATCAAAAACTGCTGTTTATAAGCAAACAGTTCTTCCACTGGTCTGTTAATGGTATAAAATAAATTATTAAAATTTTCCTTCTGGTCCCACTAACATTTCTTGTGCTCGTTGCTGATGTAATCCAGGCCCCTGACAATCAGTAAATAAGATAAAAAATATGTAGCGGAGATGTTTTTTTGTGCTGGAAAAAAAATGTCAAACAAAAGGCAAGCGAGTGGTTTAAAGCCACAGACTCATACGCTGTAATCCCTGTGTGGTTTTCTATTAGAATAAAATCTAGAATCAGCAATTTGTCTTAATGAACCTCGATCCGACAAAGAGACTGGATTAACTCAGTGTGGGTCCTCTGCTGAAAAAAAAAAAAAAAAAAAGTTTAATAACCTTGGGTATAGAATAACTTTTCTGCTGCATAATTAAAACTATTCCAGCCTATTTCAGTTCATTGCATTACTTTTAATATGCATTCCTGCTTTTAGTCATTCATATTCAGCTATTAGCGGGTCGCTCTTTGCTCTGACACTGGCTGTGTTATATAAAAAAAAGGAATGCAACTCAGTTGTCTGTAGCAACAGGGACAGGAAATAAATAAATATCTATGACAATAATGTACTTTGGAGCTGTAATCTATCATAGCAAAAGTTCCCCGGCTCTTCAGAGCTGTAATCGTTTTCACCCCCAACTTCTCCCCTGTGTCAATGCAACCATTAGTCTCAATAAGCGCCGACAAGAGGGGGAGATGTTCTTTATTTGCGGAGGGGAAGTCAGCCCTCTTTGAAACACTACCACCCTGAGTGTTTTAAAGCATGAGTCAGCATGATGTGAGCTGGTGGTTGGTTTGTGAGTTAGTCGACTGTTCTGCGTTTCTCTAAAACGTCCCTGAAGGCTGCACCTTATGGGTCTTTTGTCTGAGTGTGTTTTAATAAGTCCGACTCCCAAGATGAGAAACTTTCCTAAATCTCGCTGAGCAGAATAAACTCAAAAAGTCACTGCGGTTGTCTGTTGCAGGGCGACGTCAAAAAACCATTACAGATGCACCTATTTCTACTACTCTCATTTTGATATTGAAGGCGTAGGTTAAAACTCATGAGCCTGTCATACCGAGCGGAGCCACAGACCGACCCAGCTGTGAGCAGAGACGATTCCTTTCCTCTTTTTTTTTTTTACTCTGTCATATGTAATTCCTTAAAGTCCCAAATCGCTGTGCACCTTGCTTTCTATTCAATTCCTGCCTTACCCTTGGCCTGATTTAATACTGTTGTGTTGATATATGCTGTATGTCTGCTTTCAGTGGCTGTGAAGGGATTTACCTCCCAGGAATACTAAAGACTGACTTTACAGAACCAAGTGCTTCTATAGGGTACGGCGACGGAGAGTGGTTACATCTATTCCGCTTGGTTATGCAGATCCCACCTGCCTCTCTGTGGGTGGATACCAAGGGCGTTTTGAAGTGTGGAGGGGGAACAACGAAGGGATATTTATACACATTCATACACGTGTATTTACAGACATTTACACCATTCTAGAAATGTAATTGAAGGGGTTTTTTTTTTTGCTTTTGATAGTACTAGTAGTGTAACAAAAAAACAACAAAGAAAAAACCTTTAGAGGTGATTAATTACCAAGTTGTACCAACAAGTGTAAAAACTATCATTTACACATAGCTCGAAGACTTTTTCTTGGCCGGGAGCATTATCTAACTCCACCAGAAAGTATATTTCTCAAAATGTCAAACCCTCCTCTCCTCTCCTGTCTTCTGTGATAGTCCTTGATAGAGCCCTACTAACAGTGTACAATGAGTTTTTGAGCACTAGCAGCATTATGGAGCAATGTTTTTTTATGTTTGGGTCCGCATTTTGCTTGGTTGCACATGGACACGGACGACACAGTCCTGCAAATGGTGTCATGTTACTATCCGCTTATCAACAGGTGTCAATAACGAAACACAGCGATGCACCAGAAAAAAGGGAGCGAAGAAGAAGATTCCTAGCAAGTAGACCTGAATGTAAACAATGCGGGTTTGGACTTGAAAGATGGCTTTGCAGTGGCTTTGTTTTAATGCGGAAGGAATCGCACGGCATTGTTGATTTTGGTGATATTATTTGAACCTTTTGATCGTCAAATCAACCCAAAACTAAAAATAGAGAGGATGGCGAAAATAGGATTTTGAAAAGTAAAGCGGGAATACCCCCTCTCCCCCCACACACATGTCCGCACGACTGAAACAGTGACCTGATGGCTTCCAGCAACCTCCCTGAACTGAAGAGCACGCATCCATCTGCGAGCCCTGTCAAAGCATTTAGTGTGAGTGGAAAAACCCGCTGCCTTTTCCAACTGAGCGATCCTCGCTGTGAGTGCCACTTAACCTTCCCCGAAAAAGAGTAAGGGCAAATATTAAATAAATAATACTTTAAGAGCTATGCCCCTTTTAAAAAAATTGGGTTCAGAAGGATATACAACACTCCTGAACCGCTTTTTATCTCTAACCACACACACACACACACACACAAACACACAGTGTACCAACCAGTTTGGCTACATAGCAGACAACCAGCGAGTCAATCTTCTTCTTCCCCAGTCGAGGCAGGTGTCTGTTGAGATGCTCTCGAAGCTTGTCAACTGTCTGCAACACAAAAAACACACATGGGTTATTTTCTGTGTGTGTGTGTGTGTGTGTGTGTGTGTGTGTGTGTGCTGTTGTGGCTTGGAGTAAAACTTTGTGTTTGTGTGTTTTAAGCATACTTTGTTGTACACTCAGCAAGGTCAAATTGAGTTCACCTCGACTTTTCCCACGACTACAATGTCCCAAAAATTGATTTAACCACGGAGGGGAGGGGAAGGGAAGGAGGAGAGGAGAGGAGAGGAGAGGAGAGGAGAGGAGAGGAGAGCAGAGGAGAGCAGAGGAGAGCAGAGGTTGACCGAATGACCACATATCCTTCTGGGAGAAGAAGCGGGACAAGGAGGAAAAAGAAGGAAGGAAGTGAGCAGAGCAGAGGAGTGAAATGAAAGAAGCAGAAATACAGGAAGGGGTAAAATAAAGATAGAAGAAGTGATGGAGGGAATAGAGAGAGAAAGACAGGGGGAGAGGGTCCGTCTAAGAATAGCTGAGAGACTCCAGCATCTCCACTGAACTCCATTAAATTGCAGCTATCTGCTCTTTAAAAACTGTGCTGAGCACAGGGAAAACTAGGGGATATGAAATTGTCCATCAAACAGCACACAGTTAAAAAAAAAAAGAAGCAGGACAGGGACCTTAAGATGCCCTTTTTTTTTTTTTAAAGTGTCGACTCATCTGAAGCGTAACAGGAACTTCACCTTAAAAGATGACTATGGAGGGAAATAATCGGCTGTCAGCGTTTCACAGTGGATCTTTAGTGGTCTGTATATCAGCCCACGATAAAGGAAGAATCCACCTCCACGAGCGCCCACACCGTCATACATCAACGATATGCGGTACTCAGATGCATTTTACAATGAAGTATTGTACTGTGCAGCCACTTCCTCTTTACTCTCCCCCATCCACTTCTACTACAGTTAGTGACAGTGGAGAGAAAATACACACATGGTGCAGTGTAGACAATTATTCAAACTGGAAAAAAAAAAAAAAAGAAAAAAGAAGAAAGGACATCAAAGTAGGCACTGTATCTCAAAAGCTTACTGATCAACAATCCAGGTTATGGCTGACGTGTTTGATTGTTTCCTATTCTGCTCCTGCTCTTTGATTTTGAGTGTCAGGATGTTAACTAGGATCTTTTTGGAGCGCTGAAGGACTTTCTGCTTTTGAAACATCCGCATGTTGTGTCATGACTGACTCTGACTGATCCTTTAGCTGAATGATTCATTTGGCTGACAGCATTTTACAAGTGATGCTTTTCAAGGCTTTCAAGAGGATCCGAGTTCAAACTAAAATCCTTCCGAAATCTTCTGAGTGAGATGGAACGTGCTAATTAGTCAGCTTTAGAGGGAGAGGTAGGCAGATTTTGTTGCCTCTGGACAGAGCCAGGCTAGCTGTTTCCCCTTGTTTCTAGTCTCTATGCTAAGCTAAGAAACCGGCTGATGGCTCCAGCTATATTCTACATTTACCATACAGACAAATATAGAGATTTGCTCCCATTAAGCCACAGGAGCCTTTGTGAGGTAAGGCTCTGATGATGGGTGATAATACTGCAATGATTTAACTCAAAGCTGCGATACATCCAGCTTAACACTGGATAGTATGAAAATGCCAAAAAAAAACCCCAATGAAATACAGTCCGTCACTCAAAATAATTCAACCCAAATTTAATTAATTTTATGCTTCATTGTCAATTCACACTATTTCTTATTCCTCACACAGCCAGCTCTGTAGTAAAACAACTGTCTTGAGTTGTTGTGACCCATCTCATACAAAGATACATGAGCCCTTGCTCAAAGTCGGCGTTTCAGCTCAGTCTCGAAGGCGTTGGACGGGGTTGAGGTCAGGGCTCAGTACGGGCCAGTCAAGTTCCTCAGCACCAAACTGGGAAAAACCATTTCTTTATGGACCTCACTTTGTGCATAAGGTCACTGTCATGAAAGCACTCTGCACAAAATTTGGCCCCAAAGTTGGAAGCACGCTTGTCTAAAATGTCACTGCACGCTGTAGCATGAGGACTTCCCCGAAGAAACAAAGGGGTCAAGCCCAGACCATCAAAAAAAAAAAAAAAAAAAAAAAAATTCTTCTGACCACAGAGTGTGTGTGTGTGTGTGTGTTTGTGTGTGTTTGTGTGAATGTATTGAAGCCAATGACAGGTTTCAGCTTCACTCTCTCTCACCAGGCCTATGAGCATCCTCTGTTGATGGTCCTCCTCCTGGAAAAGTGGCACCAGCTTCTTATCTAGAAAGAGACCAGGCGAGAGAGAGAGAGAGAGAGAGAGAGAGAGAGAGAGGGAGAGAGAGTACGCACATGAAAGAGACGTGTGACGAAAAACCTCCTCCTCTATGCTGCATCTATTCTAAACTGAAGACCACAGGTAGCCTCAGGTGTGTCAGCGCAGTAGCAACGTTCAACAGTCAGTCAAATCGGTACAACTGGAAGAAACACTCTGACTTGTTTATGACTTTAATAAAAAGCTGAATCTAAGATATTAATAGATTCTTCTGGGGGTGTATTTTCATTTTAAAAATACATTCCAAGGCTTGGGGGTTTTGACGCTGTGATCCTCCTCTGTGTGTGTGTGTGTGTGTGTGTGTGTGTGTGTGTGTGTGTGTGTGTGTGTGCGTGAGTGAGTGAGAGTGTGTATGCACGTTGCAGTTGTTTTATGTCAGTAACACAAAAGTGGACGGCGCTGCAGCTTGGCTACTTTTAGATGAATTATTACACACTTGCATACACAAACACACACACACACACACACACACACACACACACACACACACACACACACACACACACACACACACACACACACACACACCCACACACCATCTTTTGATGACTTTTTCACCCATGCAAGAGGCTGGCTTTTTGATGTTACTCTGTAATACGTTACAGATATAAATAGCGCTCGCAGGGAACGGCTAACTGACAGGCTGCGCTGCCAGATTTCGCTGTATGCCTGTTAGCGGTTCAAAGTTATCAACTGTTTTAAATTTACATATTTTAGACATTTAGCTGATGGTCTTATATAGAGCGGGCAGGTTCAGTGTCTTGGACTTCACAGCAACAGGGAGCGCGGCTGCTCGTGCACAAGCTCTTCACATGCAACCGCAGTGCTGAATTAGTAATCAATTATCAGAAAATTAACAATTACGATTGATAATTATTATTATTTTAGTAAATATAAAATATTTTTTGTTTCCAGCCACTCAAACATGAGGATTTTTTTACTGCTTTTCTCTTTTTGACGTTATTTTGAACGGGATCTTTGCAGCGATGGTCAGACATAAAACATCACTTTGGGCTCTTGGAAATTGTATTTTTGTTTGTGTTTTTCACTTTGTTCTGACACTTCATAGACCACACATTTAATGAATAATAAATGTTAAAACATTTTTTGAAAATAATATTAAGCTTCAGGCCTAAACCAAATCTCCAGACTTGATGGGAGGATGATGGAGGATTCACCATCTTCAATCCAAAAAATAGCGGGTTTAAAATGACCCTTCTGTCTGTAATACATGTGACACTAGTACGTATGACACATAGCCACAGGCATCTTCTGACATGAGTGCTATCATCTGTGTGCAAGGCTTGGTGCAGGGGGAAGTGATTAAAATGCAGTGAGTTAGTGTTTTAAAAAGGGAATCTGAGGGAGGTTTTGGGTGTATGAGATCATCCGTGTGCATTAGCTGAGGTAAGGGAGGGTCCCGTGTTGTGGCTGACACGAAACAGCTGCAACAGAGTCATGAGAGGGAGACGGACATAAAAAGAGGGAGTGAGAGGGGAAGGAAGTACCTAACTCCCCGCTGTTATATAAGAGTAGCATTCTTCACCTCTCTTCTATTTTTTTTTTTATTGTGCTTTTTTCTTTTTTTTTCTTCATATTCCCCCTCCTCCTCCCTCTCCCTCCCTCCCTCCCTCCCTCCCTCCACTCTCCCTCACTTCTTTCTCAGCCTCGCCTTCCAAGATAAATTAGTGTGGTGGTTCGGTTCAGCTGAATTCTCCAGTGGGCATGAAGAATGCGACCTCAGAAGAACACACAAACGTACAAACCCAAACACCTTCACACACAGTTTTGAGTTCCATTATATACCAGGGTTTTGTTATTTATGACACTCACACTCCTTGTGTTTGTGTGTGCGTACCTGTGTGTGTGTGTGTGTGTGTGTGTCTTGCATCTATGGATTTATGTTTGTCTATGGATGTGCATGTTCAGTGTGCTTATGCCGTCTTACCGAGACACCAGGTGTCCACCATTGATAGAACTCTACAAAATAAGAAGAAAAGCTTTGTGTGAAAACAATCCCTCAAGCCTGCATTATAATAAGAGTCTTACTTTTTATGCAGTAAGTCGAGGCGGTATAATGCTACACTCCTGCGGTCGGCAGCAGAAATATATCAAAACTATAAAAGCATAAAAGTTTGTAAGCAGGTGCTGGAGTTTGGCCTGGAGGAGAAGAAGCTAATTATGAACTGAAAAGCTGCTGGTTTGATACCTGGCATGAACCGGACAGAGTTGTTTTCAATTCACAGCGGGCTCACATCAGTGATGGATACAGGTCTTCGTCAAGTCTCTTTATCATAAACTGCTGAGGGGCTATAGTTATAATCTCATTTTAAGGTGTTTTAATTCAAAGTGGATATTTTACAGCCAAAGAGTGACGAGGTAACCAGCTACAAAAGGGTTCACGCAGGACATTCACTCCAATAAGAGGAGTAGGCACTGGGTTCTGTTTATTTTTTAAAGTTTTTGGAAGTTTGAAGAGATGTTGGAAAAAAAAGAAAAAGAAAAAGTGAAAGTGGGAGACAGTCCATTTCAAGGAGAGAGAGATTTTTCTCCGCCTGCTCACTTCTTTTATCTTCTTTTTAGTCAGTTTTTTCACGAGTTGCTAACATCGACTTTGGTTAAAGAAAATGAACATGCGCCACCAACAATCCTGTTCTGTACTCATCAAGGCTCCCGACGCATCATGACAATTATAGAATGAATTATATTGAGGTTCAAGACAGGACAAGTTGTTTTTAGAGAAATCGGGGAGTTTTACTACTGTTTTTTTTAAATATCGACCCAAAAGTACTTTTAAACTTGCTTCACATCTTTATTGTATTAGATTATGTTTTATTCTTCAACTAACTGATTATACTTCAGACCCTATCTCAGAAACATAATCATTTAAACATATTTTTGGGTGTGGATCCACTCCAGCCTAGTTAAAATATAACACCGGTCATATTCTACAACGAACTGATCCACCTAACGAGTATCGTCCGTGCAATCAAAGCCTGATACAGATTATTCCTCTCTGAGGTGAACCACCCTGACATGTTATGATGAACATGGTCACTGTAGTTTATTTTGACTCAGTCCCACAAACACTGTCCTGCTGTTGTAAATACAGCAGCAAACTGAAAACACAGTCCCTAACAAAAGCTTTTTCCTGTATGAGTGAAGTTTGCTAAAAACTACAGTGCCCAGCTGTTTTTAGTAAATAATTCAGTCTTGTTAAAAAATGAAACGACATACTTGAGAAACCTTTTTTAAAGATTTAAATCTTCAGTAGAGAACCGATTGGCTTAGAGCTGAGGCTGGAGAAGTCGGAAAGTGGTGACAGGCAGTGTAAAGCATTGTTTGTTTTGGTAAGAAAATATACAATAATTCCAGCTATGTCCTTTAAAGATGGGTAAAGCTCAATGTGCTTCACTGTCACTTTTAACTACTGCTGTTTTAGGAACCAGTGTTATTTGCGAGGATGAAGTTGTGCAGCAGTTCTGCAGCTTAAGTCGGTCTAACAGTCTTCAAATTTTACATGTTGCCAGACCTGATTTTGACGACTAAATATAAGCTTATATTTTTAAAAACTAGAGCACCATGCTAATCTATGTCAACCTTCAAAAAGTTTGAACCTGTGGTCTTGCAGGCTTTTCCAGGTTTAAAATTATGGCATTAAAAATGACATACTTTGCTCTAATGAGCAAAGTATGTCATTTTTCCAAACAGAAGACAGTGCAGAGGCGCAGTCATGCCTTCCCTCTCTCCAGTTTCAGGACTGAGGTACTTTTCTTAACAAAGCTCCAGTGGGAGGCAGACCTACTTCTTTGTGTTCTCCTCCAGGTGATTCATGTAGCTGGATGGTCTCGTCTCGGACCTCTGAAACAAGCAACACTATCAGGGGAAGGGCTGAAAATACGTTCCAGCTGTTTGACAAAAACCCTCAGGTATGCCAACGAGAACACACACAGACAGTCACACACACATTTGAACGTCTCTCAATCAACTCCTAACATAGAAATGATGATTTGGTGGTGATTTGTGTCAATGAATATACATAAGGGGTTTTCGTTGGACAAGCAGAAAACACACACAGACACACACACACACACACACACACACACACACACACACAGAAAAGAAAAAAAACAGACTCACCAGTTTATTCCACTCGGCCTGTATCTGTGAAGTTCTGTATCTGGGGTTGGGAACAGCGTCCAGATATTTCGTCCTCTCTGTGTTCCACTGCAGCTCTGTCCAGAAACCCTAGAGACACACACACACATACACACACACACACACACACACACACGACTCAAACAAACAACACCAACAAAGTGACAAAGCAAGGACGTTGCTGCAAACATTTGGGACATCTGAATTGAACACAAGCAGACTGAGCGTGTATAGAGTCACACTGTTTTACATATAAATGCCCTTTTTAATGTCTGAATGCAGTCGACTACAGTCATTTCCAGACATTGTATCACCTAGGGCATGTATGACATGTTATGTAACGTACGCATTGTCTTGATTTAATCACCAGTCTGAAGTTTTGTACTGTTCAACTGTAACTGACAAGCACTTTCAGTGTAAGACATGCGTTTTTAAAAATTGAAGAACACGTTTTTACCTTCCCTTTTAGCACAGACTCAATATGCAGCTCAGTGGTACACAACACACCGGGGATCGCCGAGAGACACGCTGGTACCTCCTAGAACACAGAAAGGCATACTAAAGTGTGTGTGTGTGTGTGCATGTGTAGCACAGTGAAATGGAACTGCAAGTGTGTTGGCTTGACATACTCAGAGTTGCCCGTTTATTTTCTATGCATATGCAAATATATATATATATATATATATATATATATAAGTGTGTGTGTGTGGTACCTTCTTGTCGAATACAGAGGAGTAAGGCAGGACTTTATCCAGGCTGAGAGACTTCTCGTAGCTTATCCTGTACAAAGAGGCTGTGTGTGTGAGAAACAGACAGACGGTCAGAGAGAGGACTCTGCTTTTAAACACACTTATGTTGCATTTTTTATTTAAATATGGTCTCAAGACAAATGAGGCGCTTCAGCCCATGTCCCACCATTATCACTATGATATATAAGGGAGCACAGGTTGCAGATGTATCATTAATTAGGTCAACATTATCGTCTTCATATACTCTACACCATCACCCGAATTAATATGACCTCCGTATCTAAAGAGCAAGTGAAAGTTGTTATTGCAGCACCAATAAAATGCAAATTTATGCAGCAAGGTGTCTTGACATCTAATGTGATCATCTACTCTCTGGGTGATGACTGTTGTTTCTAAATATGAAATTAATATCATGTACTGTTCTTGAGTTATTTTCTTTAACAGAATGCCAGACGGACGTGCTGGGGCATACAAATGTGTTGTTGCGTGTCTGCTAGGACTTAACCATATTTGCACTGTTTTCTGTGCAAGTCTCCAAGGTCTCAAAATAACCAAGTCTATTTTTCGAACTCTTTAGGCCTTGCGTGGGACGCCTGGCACTAGTCTGCGAGAACAAATTTAAGAGCCAAACAGAGTTGATGAAAGAATTCTGCTTTGTGCAGACAAAGATGTAAGCAGTCTCTTGTAACCACAAAGAGGAGAGGACATAAAAAGGCAAGAAAGGAAAGCTGGACTCCTGAAAAGGAAGTCGAAGTGATACTCAGGAGATTTGTGTCCCCTTCAGCTGCTTCAGCTGCCACCGACCTAGAATGAACTCCTGGATCTGATCAAAGGATTCGAAGGCGTTCACGTTGTCACACAGCCATTCAATAATCTAGTGGCATGATGGAAACACACAGGAGACAGGTGTCACAGAGGTGGGAGCTCGGCATTAGGCTACAGCTGTACTGCATGCTCATTAGTACATTTACATATAAAGTGAACAATCTAACACAGTCTACAGTTTATCTTCCACTCTTTAAAAAGAAAATTTCACATTTTAGAGAAATGTTTTGCTTTTTTAACTGAGAGTTAGATGAGAAGATGGATAAGATCGCATGGCTGTAGACTGATATCTTGTTTGGTAATACTAATAACAGTTCTCGCTCCTGATAAGGATTTTTTTTTTTTTTTTTGGATGATGTAGCTTTGATGGTGTACTGTTTACATTACAGAAATGTGAAAAAATGACTGATGTCCTCAAAGATAGACCCTGCAAATCTTGGAGCCACAGTGCATCAGAGTGAAAACTCATTTTCTGCTGCCCATTTCCTATGCTGTTTGAAGATATATGACTTTGCCACGAGTCTCTTTGAGTCCAGAGACATTAAACATAACAATAACCATTACAAGGACAGGAACAAGAGAGAAGTAAAATAAGGAGTGGAAGGACTTAGTTTGCACAGTATTCTCTTAAAGTTGCAAACTGCTGTGAACAAAGAGAGAAATGTTAACAAGCAATCACCTTCAGTAAAGCAGCTACTTTTTGTGCTGCTGGCCCCATTAACGGAGTCTACAAAGAAAACTAAAGTTATGTGTGGTGTCCAATTTCCCAGTGCTAGCTGCACTAATGAAGCCGGTGACTCATTTAACCTCTACAGAAAGAATTTATTACAATCTATCAGAGCAGCAGGAACATCTTAATTTAGGTGAACTGCTAATAGAGTCTGAGTCATCGTCAGCACCGTGCCCAAACAAAATATCTGTCCCTTTCTTTCTGTCTTTGTTTGACTCTGTTCGATCTCTGTCCACTTGTCTTCTCTATGCTCTTGTTGTATTTCATCCCTCTTTGTTTTTTCTTTCCCTCTCTGTCTTCATCCCTCCATCTGCTCTCTTCCAACTCAAGGTTGACACCTACTGAATTTACACAGAAGTGCAGAGAAGCTGCCATCCTTACCATCTATGTATTTTCTCTGGGCTGTACATCGATTTTCTTTGAGTAAAAGCGCCTGACACTGACATGACTTCCCACTGTTTTGCTTCTTTATCCTGCCGTCTTTTCTGTCTCAATCTCTTTCTTTAAATCCTGATAACTGCTGAAGTTTATGTTTGTATGTTTGAAATAATGATTATGTGTTATATAAAAAATACAAAAACACAAGTTGTGTATGTCCTGTGGGGGATGTGTTATGTCTTCATTTGGGTAAATTTGGATGCTCAGATTTGACACCAGAACTTTACCGTTTCAGTAAATTTGCTTTAAATGTCAATGAATTTGTCCTCAAAACTCCTTTCCTCCCACCCATCTGTACCTTCAGCTCCAAGCTTGGGTCCTTTCCCATGTAAACCAGAAGGCAGTGGAGGGCGGCCAGGCGCTGAGGGTCAGCCTTATTGCAGGGACACCTTTGAAAGGAGGTGATGTACAACAAATTTACCTTTATTCAGCATAAGCATATACAAACACAGAGGCACAGAGGCAGATGCAGAGGCAGACAGCCAACAGTCAGGGACTGTATGGTGATTTATCTGCTGTTTAAAAAAAAAAAAAAGAAAGAAAAGAAAAAAAAAGTGAATTAAAACTGAAAAATGAATCAACTGAATAACAAATGTCCAAGGAAAAAAAAAAAAACAGAGCAACGAGCCACTGCTGCATCTCTATTGAACACGATGGTTCGATCCAAATTGTGTGCTGGCAAAGATTCAAGTTAAAGCTACATTTATTTTCAGACAGGTTCAGCAGGTGTACACACACAAATAACCTTCATCTGTCTGCTTCCTGCCTACCTATATTCTCCTATGCTCTTCTCTGGGTATATAAATACCACCTGATAATACCCACAAATGTATATAGGTCTTTCATTTCCACCAAAAGCTTATGAATCACGCTCACCTAGAAGATGAGCGCAGTATCTGCAGCAGGTAGGCGGGGCTCAGCTCAGCAGTGTGGATCTTCCCACTGGCCAGGTCCAGCAGACTACCACAAGACTCTTCCTCTGCGTGCAGCACTGTGATGTTAGCGGACTGACACTGCAGGCCCAAGTCCACATCGTGACCTTAGGGTTGTTGAGAGACAGAGAATAAGACCAACTGGATTAATACGAGGACCACCTTCTGTTTCTAACATCAAATACCAGTGAAAGCTCCATGTTTGTCCAGGTGCATATCAAGTGCATGTGCTGTAGCTAAGAAAAAAGGTAATGATACAAACTGTTACACAGCCGTCACTCAACTTTAGACATGATTTGTACAAAAAACCTTGTCGTACCAGAGAGAAAGAGGGAGTGACAGGGCATCTCCTGCTGCCTGGTGTTGATACAGTGGAGGAAATAATCCTTCAGATACACCAGGATGTAGTAACCTACATAGAAAAATAACATAACATCGCTGTCAGGGTGTGTGTTGTGTTCGTATTCTGTACGCACACTGGACATTTATTAGGTTGCATGAGGATACACACACTTATTTGTATTTGCGCGTCAGTGTTTCTGTTTCTGCATGTTTGCCAGTCAAGCTTACAAACTCTCACATACACACACACACACACACTTGGTTGATTTGATGAGCATAATGATGTGTGTTAGTGTATGTGTGTGTGTGACTGTATTACATTTGTGTGTATACACTGACCTATGGGGATGAAGAGTGGATGGAGCTGTGCAGCTTTGTGCTGCGACTGTTCGCTGCCCAGAGACACTCTGAATGTTTTGCTGCAGTCTGCAGAAAGCAAGAAATTAGTCGCCTCAAGATAAAAAAAAACTTCAATCTTTCTTTTGACTAGACGACAGTTAGAAAGCATACACACCTTTGTGAACTAAAACCACGGTGTATAGTAGTTCCTGATTGTCTTTCCGAGGCTGGCTGTAGCACACACACATGCTTCCTAAAAACAAACCACAGAGACAGAGCAGTTGTGGATCACAAAGTAGGTGCCATTATTACAACATCACAAACATCCATGACTATATAATGATAATCCATGTGAGATTAAATGGGCTGTGTTCTGTTTTGAATCCATTCACATCTAACGTTAAACTTGCATCAATCCCTGAGAGGACAGGCTTTGTTTTTGATTCAAATTCAATCAAGATTTCAATCAATAATTATTCTACAAAATCCGCTCGCCCCTTTTGTGGGGTTCCACTTTTAACCTGGTGATAATATAGAGTCAGCCATTTTAATCTTAAAATCTTATATGTTACAAAATTTACCTTGATGTCCATTCGTGTTCACATTCAATGAAAAGTGTAAATTACAAAGTGCCTCGATTTTCTGATCTCTGCTGGTGGATCTCCAAGTGGGTGTTGCATTGTGTTAACGTAAAGACGTTAATATAGTTTCTGACTTGTTACAGGGACTTACGTTCTTGTTTTCACAAAGAGAAATAAACACACATAAACGTATTAGTTATAATAATTCATGTACCTGGAATAAGACACCTGAGTGAGAGAGCATACGTGTGAAAGCACGTTATTCATACAAGAATTAGTGTGTGTGTATGTGTGTGGATGTGTTACCTATTCTGTTTGTGAACACATTCATCCGAATGAGTTCCTGTTCTGGTCTCTCCATGTGATAATGGTCGAAGCCCAGGTTTACAAACCTGTTGGCCACACACACACACACACACACACACACACAAACACACACAAACACACACACGAATCCCAGTTAGTGAATTTTAGTTAAAGATATACATACATAAATAAAGACAAAACAAAAAATGAATTACTTGCACAGCACAGTTAGTACACAGGGATTCATTTTTGTCTCTTTAATTGCAAGTAATCTTTAGTAACATACAAAGGAATGCAGAATATAGAATCAAATGCCAGCTGAGAAGACATATTTCTAATACTGTAGTGTAGTTGTTGCCTTACTTGACCGTATGGAAAGGATTAGCAGGCAACTCTAACGGGAGCTCCATCTGTTGGACAGCAACGTAAAGCAAGAGAATGGCAGGTTATTATCAAGTGAAAAGGCAAATAACAATGGCAGCATGTTCATAAAAACTGGCAATTTATTAAATTATAAGACACAGAGTTGACTTACCACAGTTTCACAGTTATGACTGGGGTAAAACTGAACACATCGTAGCAGGAACTTGTCCTGTGAAAGACATCTAATTGTTTGTAAGGTCATCTTGCAGCTTGTTCAGTGTGTCAACTGATGTGTGACGTAGCCGTCTTCGTATGAATGAAAGTACGTATGGTATTCACGGCCACGTGTGATTGTGTTACCTTGTGTGTGAGACAGTAGAGTCGTTGTGTGTGTCCGTCCCACTGGACCCAACTTAAATCCTCTGCTATCCTCTCTACAGTTTTGGGCAAACGCTCGGGATTCGCCATCACCTGGTTCACACAAACGCATATTCATATTCAGCATATTCTGAATTCTTAATGCACAGCTACCCCCGGGGGGGGGGGTAAGAGACACTATAGTTTATTGCCTGAGAATGGGGTCGAAACAATATATTCTTTGCACAGGGTTATGTAAATACATTCCAACTGTTTAACTTATTAATTGCTGGATATGTTGATCCTCGGAAAGAATTTATACCTCTAAAAAATGCACAAACCCACCAGCCGGAAATATTCTCCATGCAAGCAAAAAGAAAAGAGCGGGCAATGTGGCGAATGTAGAGTACAACTTACCACTCTATAACCCTCATGTTTGGTCAGCAGAACATGGTACAGATCCACATCTGAAACACACAGGGATAATTACGTCTAACTACAACTAATATATGTCCAGCGTAATTTTTCTCCATAGAACCGAGGGATTATTTTCTCTGTTTTGGACTCACATCCGTCTTCTGTCAGCAGGAGCAGGTGGCTCTCCAGCACTGATCTCCTGTCAGTTTCTTGGTGGAGGAACTAAAGAAACCCACAGGCAAACATGAGTCAGCGCCTGAATGAGTGGTTTATGACACTTACCAGACAGAGACATCAGTTTGCGGGTTTTTATATTCCAATACAGTCCTCAAACATTCTCGGCATGTCTGTAGATGTGTGGTTTGGCAACACGGTGGGCAACAAATAGTGAGGAATGCATGTATTATAGCCACAGCAGCTTAATTACATAGTCATTTATAATGTTCCTCTGTTGATGAGTTGACATAATTTAGAAAGAGAAATAAAAAGTGATTAAGAGAAAGTGATAGAAAAGCGACTACACGCCAGTGCACTTTCAGCAAGCTTGATAACATAAATAGTCTGTGGCACTTCTACACTGTAAGCTCCAATTCTCTAAAACTGCAACGTCAGCTCCTGGCTGCGGTAAAACCTGCTTGAAAGTAGCCAAGACAACACACACACACATACACACACACACACACACACACTACCTGCACTTTGACCCTGCAGTCAACTGCCTTGAGGACTTTAGTGTTGTTGATGGGATGGATCTCAATCAGGAGAGTCAGGCACTTGGATACTACAAAGATCAGACACAATTACAGCCAAGATTGAAAATGTCATATATGGATTCAAGACACTTTAAGGAAGCTGAAAAAGGTTAATGCCATAGCTGGTAAATGAAATTGGGAGTAAGAGATCTTGGGTGTTACTTGGTCTGAGGCGCTCTTCTCCTCTGGTATTTTGTGCCAAGCTGACAGCTGAGAGGGAAAAAGCAAAGGTTAGGTGTGACGTGACTTAATATTACACATATTTTCCACATAGACGACGCTGGTTTACATTAGATTAATTTTTCTTCACAATGGTTTGGCACCACTGCAGTCAATAATCTGCACCCAAACTGGTCTTATTCTTGTGGCGCCCTATGTTGCAAGATAATAATGTTGCAGGAATACTTGATTTTGGGCCAAGAACGCAGAATTGTTAATAATGTCTACTGCTGGTTAATTCATTGTCTGAACATTACAGAGGCTCACCCAACAACGTCTCCTCCTTGTTCAGGGAACAGCTGCTGACACACACCTGCTTGTCAAATGAGTACAGGAGCTGTTGCGGAGAACACAAACGCAGCCGCATGGGGATGAGTGCGCAAAGATACAGCTGCACAGACAAAAGCAAAACCTGCACCAGCACTGAAGGGAAAGAAACATGTGACACACACACACCCACAATACCTTGTTCTGTTTGGTGTTGGAGTCGTATTTCCCAATCCTGGTGGTCGCTGTTGCTCCCTGTCAGAATAGAGTAGTTCCTCCTGTTAGGTCATGTGTCATTAAATCAATCAAAGTATGGAGATGGATAATCATAACCTGATCTGACCTATAGACCCACTTTCCCACTGGTGTCTTCCACCACAGTGACACGTGTGGAACGTCATGCTTGACCTCTTCATTACCCCGGCTGACCTCGCTGCTTATCCTGACTAGACCCGCCTCACTTCAAACCAGCAGTTCGACACATTTTTTGCTCAGAAGATTTTAAATAAAAGTCTTCTTTGAAACCCAAGGCACAGCCAGGCATGCATTAAATTGTAAACCTTGCACTAGAAAAAGAGATTATTTTCTGTTTGCGGGCTGCACACTGTCTTTAACCTCCTAAACCCACAGAGTCTTTGGCGGCTCTATCATTAAAAATGTATGTTGTGCAGAGAAGCACGGTTCAACACACAGAACTTTATTTTAAATTCTAGTAAGGATCCCAAGCTTTCCAAAAATACCAAATATGTCAAGCAGAACTGCAGAGAAATCTGGAGGAAAGAATATAGAATTTTTCATTTGATGGTGTCCATTTGAAGAGGAATGGCATCTGGATTTGAATATTGCACTTCAGAGCACATATAACATGTAAGACACAGTAATTCTACAGAAAAATGTGGGAGCTTTAGGTTTATAACAGAGTGTCGCTTTCACAGCATGTTACACTAAGTCTATCCAAGTTCAAAGGACATTATTATGGAGAAATAAATGTGATTATTTTGTGCAGTGTGAGTGCAACTTTCATATAAACAGTAAAATGAAGTGAAGCTGAAATGCAGCTTGTAACACAACTAAATTGGAATGAGCACCGGATTAATATGGATTAAGATAATCACACTCACTTAATGAGCATACCCAGTATAAGAAACACATAATATGCAGTGCCTCCTCTATGGACTTACCTTCCAGGAGTAAAGGATGCCCCCATCTCTCTCAATGTTCAGGATACGAGTGTCCACTGCGCCAGAGTATTCTGCAGACACAGCATCATTATTATGGACCCACAGAGTCTGAACAACAGTGTGGCCTGACAAAAAAGTTTTTAGTATCCCTGCCACCATTCACACTGAAGATACTAATGATGCTGAATGAGTATATAATGTGTTTCCATTGTATAATAAGTTGTTGTTTCATGCAAAAAAAAGGTGCCCAGATGTGTAGGTGAATAATTTGGCAAGAATATACTGGTTAATGTTGTAGGATATAACGGGATGTCTGTTGTCTGCATAAAAACCAATGCCTCGTATGTGTGTCTGTGTACTAAACATGGAGTTTACAGAAAAAAAGTGTCGTATGGTGTTAATGTAAACTTTTGAATGTTTAGAAGCTGTATGATGTTTGAAACTCTTGCTGCGATACTGGATCCTCCAAAAATAAGCAGTCTTTCTTTTAAGTCTGAAAAAAATGTACAGTATAAATGAAATCTGAATGCCTATTAAATCATGTTTTATTCTCTCAGATGCTGAGATAATGTCTTCATTCAGGAAACTGTTATTACATTATTGTTTAATTTGCTTCATGTTTAGGAGGTTCATGAAGGTATGCAAACTGCTTACTAGTGAATGTTTGACTAATGCGTTTTTATACGGTGTTTAGAGAAATGTGAAGAGTGAACAGCGCCATCTAGTGCTCAACACGTAAACACCTGTAAATCGTTTAGAAGTTAGGAGTTTTCTGTTTTTGAAGCCAAAGCTAAAGGAATCTCCACGCTACACTTTAGCTGAAACATTTTCTTTCCAATAATTATTGTTGAATTTAGACCTCAAATGTATACAAACACGTATAACACAGGTACACTCACTCTGAATTCAGCAACAACCGTGAAATAGACTTGACTTAAACCTGATACTTTTAGCTAGCACTGTTAGCCCCCTATCAGTCAAAACTGTTCAATAATGCCCGTTAAAGGAAGGAAACTGTTAAGTCGCTGATAAAGCAGGCGACCGCGGACACATGAACATCTCACCTTTAACCCTGCAGACAGACGCCTCCTTCCTGTGGATATCAGACTCCACATCTCTGTGTAAGTCGAACTTTTGCTTTAACTTCAGCATGTGCACAAGTCAGTCTGCTCCTTGGTTTTCAGTGCAAAATCCCTTCCTTGAAAAGACTCCGAAGTGTGTCCATAAGAAGAGGCAGCACCTTTCATTTAGTGTCTGCTCAGGCTTGGCATCATGTGACCGAAAGTCTTTACGTGTTTGCTTTGGGCACATGCATAAAATGAAAGCAGTACAACACATAAGTACGTTCCCACATGAACTACTCACTTCTCCCTCTTGACTTCAGAAACTTGTTTTTATTGACATGCGGAAATGTAACGTTGAACCCCAAAATTAGCTCCTCCCTCCACAGGGATCACACAGCCCTGGAAAATCGTTGTTATAGGCCGAGGGAAGCATCAGTCCAGCGGCTTGGAATCTCTCACCCCCCCGCTGAATGATTTCACCATCCAGACCTCAGTCAGGCAGTTCACAATGGAGTGTCATTGCGCTGGAGTACAGTGTTCCTTAATTTACTGAATTGTAAATCAATGTAATAGTTTTTAAACTATAAACTATTTATTTACAGTGAATGGTGTAAACTTAAGATGTATGAAGTGTTTGGCAGGTCAAGTACATGGTTTGCGATGGTGTTGAATGTTTTTACTACATCAGTTTCCTTCCAAACAGAGCCCATTAAAGACTGTGCATGTCATGACACTTGTATTCCCTCCAAGAAAAAGATGATAATGAAGGCTTCTTCCTCTCACTTATTTTTATTACAGTAATAAAGATAAAAAGCCAATAATATACTATACTCTTCTGATCAAGACAGACCTGCATCTGTTGAGCTCCAACAATAACATTTTGTAATTAAACAACACAAATATTACAGTGTATATATAATAATACAACATCTCAAATGTAGCAATTAAATAAGAAAAAAATTAGTTAAAAGAAAGACTGTCTCATCGCTTTAAGTGCATAAAAATGGAAAAGGTCAGTGTATGGGTTAGACAATCTTATTTTATCATTATTATTATTATGTTAATGACATGCCTGCAAGGAGGCCAATCTTTTGGGAGATGAACCACTAACTGTGATGTATAGTCATCTACAGAAATATGTTTTTCTGTTACCTCTTCACAATTATGTTAAAAGTTATTAATAAAGACTGTGGTTTAATAACGCAGGAGCCTTTGAAATTTTGTCCAAGGGATGAAGTGTTTCATTTAATTTATCGGGTCAAAAGCCTCTGATGCCTTAAAGCCTCTACACACTTTTGGCCACATACTCACGCACACACACACACACACACGCACACACACACACACACGCACACACACACACACACGCACACACACACACACACGCACACACACACACACACGCACACACACACACACACGCACACACACACACACACACACACACACTTATTTTGTCTAATTAGACCTCTTTTTTAGAACTCTATGGGCATGTGGTGACTGAGGTTGGTTGATATCTTCCTCACTTTGATGTTTGATGTGTTGCACCTAATAAAGTGGGGCAACTTTTATTCTTCTTATTCATTCCTCTTGGTGCATGGACTTTAGTGACCTAGGAAAAGCCCAGGGGTCTAATTAGATGTGATAAATGAAAGTAGCCTACCTGTGTTTTGTGCAGAGCCTTTAAATATGTAATATAGACAGATGTTCCTTTGACTCCCATAGTTACTAGTGAAGTAATGACACCCTGTTAATAAATGTATGCGCAAAGGAACTTATATCCTAATAACCTGTTTAGTTTCATTTTTGATGTTGTAGGAGGGTTTGATAAACACTGCCCTCCTCTGCTGAGTTTGAAAACTGCACATAATTATGACTAATGTCCCATGCTCAGGTCTTTCTATGATTTCTAAGAAAAGAATGAAGCACAGAATTCCCACTCTTACACTAGTACTATGTACTACAAATAGACTGAACGTTGATGTCTGACAGCAAATGTCATATTTAAAGGTGCTTTGCCATTATTTAACATTAAATACGCCTCCAAAAATCCCTAACTGTGCTTATTAAATGTCTCAGTTTTCCCACACAGTGATGTTTAGGGGCACACAAAATTAAAATAAAGTGATGAGGCAGTTAGAGGCGGCCAGTCTTAACTGCAGCAGTGTTTCTAGTGATAAATATTGTTTCACAGTATAATGACTGTATGGTTAAAATGCTAAATCTTATACCTCCCATTATTATACTTTTGTGTATGACATTATAATAATGTCATACACATGTGTCAATATAATAATCTGATAATTTATTAACCTAAGTAATAAAAGTTGTATTAAAAAGTGTTATATTTCGTTAAGTATAAGATCCTTTATGATGGAAATGAATAAAAACAAATGTGTTGTCCCTGTGGTGTGGTGAATGATCTTCGTAAGTACACACACTCTTTGGTCACACCTGGTTCGCTGATTGGCTGACTGTGCAACTTGGCCGAGTAAAACCGAATGTAGTCGAGGGTGGGCCGGAATTTTGGTGACGACAGCTCCGCCCGCCCCTTCCCCCGCCCGGTTCTCTCCGCTTGTCCTTCCCCCTGCCCAGCTACACTACCAGGCAGGAGTCCCCAGCAGCACGGCGCGCAACACAACACACTGACAGCTGCGACTGACTCACAACCGAGGGGGGAAAGATGGAGCACAGAGACGCCGACTTCAACATACTGTTAGCGACCGATTCATACAAGGTACCGTACGCATGTTGGCTCCAGATGGAGGGGGACTGGGTGGAGGGGAGCGGCTGATGGATGAAAATTGATAAAGTCAAGGTGGTTTCATCATCAGTCCCAAGGCCAACACACTGCTCTCTGTGGCCGGTCTCCGTCGGTTAACAGCAGGCCGAATAGGTTGGAGGAAGAGGAGGAGAGGGCTGGTACAGCAGAGACGGGGTACCAAACTCAGAAAGCAAGCATCCCTCTTTGAGATAGCTAACTTAAACTCAGGACCAGTGGTTATTACGGAGCCAGTTTTTCACCGGCTTTACCAGTCTCTGGTATCCAGCTAGCTTGCTAGCTTGCTAGCTCACAGAGAGCGCAGAAGGAAGACGGAGGGGAATGATATAAAAAAAGCTAATATTAGCAACTAGCTAGCAAGTGCCGTGCGGATAGCCCGGTGGACTGCACATGGGCAAAGTCTCCTTTAAAAGCCCGGCCAGGTGTAACGTTAGCCAGCGTGGAGCTAGCCGCTATCAGTGTTAAAGCATCACTTTCGGGGAATCAAAACCGAAAGTTAAAAGGAGCCGGATGCATTTACCTTACGTGACACAGCTAGGTTAACTGAACTGCATTGAATTTATACGCTCGGGGCCTTTAAACGGTATTTAACAGTTGGCTACAGCCTTTTAATCTTTGATATAATGGAAAATATAACAGCGAGGAACGTTTTAGTACCATAAGTCCGGCTGCTAATTAACTATGCAAACAGAGTAAATGCACTTGCCGGGCTGTATTGTCGCACGTAGCAAGTGGCTGCCGGGCGGTTGCCATGTACGGCAGTCATGTTACAACATTCAGTGATAGGACTGATGGGACAGAAAGGCAGAATTATGGAAAGGGGAGGGAGATGGGGACACCAGCCGAAGATAAGCTTGAAAGACAACTAAAATTGAAACTGAAATCTTCATTCTGAGATCGCATTACAACTTGAACTTTTAAATGTAGTCAGATGTTACAAAATGACAGAAAAAGTTGCGCATTTTGAGGCAAGAGAATATGTGTGACAAATACAAGTGTGCACCAAGGCTGGGATAATGACAATCAAAATATATATATATAAAGCTCAATTAACACATTAGCATCTACGAACCCACTATGAGCTTAGTTATAACAGAAAGTGGTATAATCACATTCCCTCACGGTACTATAGGAAAAACACCAGTAGTGGAAACAGAGGTTGTACTTGCAGATATCATATGAATATATTTATTGCATTGAAAGCCCAAACTGGGTAGGAGAAGGTTTAGAGTGGTGGTTTGGAAGGGTTGTGGTTCAGGAAAAGGACCTTAACTCCTTCTGGATGTGTCCAGGGCTTCATTTAAAAGAAAAAGCCCATAGATGAGAGCTGCTCTTTTGTAACTGAGGTGATATTGTTGGCATAAGTTGTAACCTTGGTTACAATGTGTTGTTCTGATAAATTAGGTAGTACCATTGTAGCCAAGGGAGGTAATCACTGAAAATATATTTTTTTTTTTTTAAAAGTTAAGCAAATCAATCTAAATCAAATGTCAAGTGTCAATTGACTGGCACAAGAAAGGCCAGTCAATCACCCCCCTTGTTTTTACTCTGAAATCAGCCACATTGTTATAAATAATATGCCTGTAGTTACAACTTAAATGTGAGATCTGTGCAGCCTAACAATAATTTCATGGAGTGCCTGTTACATACTTTTGCACGTTATCTGAATTTTCTTGTTGGTTTAGTGTAATAGAAAACAATTTAATATTAAGCTCATTGTATACCACAACAAACTGCACAATTCAAAAGATGTCAATGATTTAGGTTTTTTTGTTTTTACTCCACTTGGCTGCAAAGTATTTAAAAGTTTACAAGTTACTGTCACTATTCATTAACAATAACAATCAGAATATAGTTGATATTAGGTATGAATTCCCCTTTATAGATAATGGGAAGGCATTTGTTCATGTCAGCTACCACAAGGGACTGTGTACAATGTAAAGCAGAAGACTGCTGAGAAAATGTGTTTCTAGTCAAGATAGTTAAAGGTTCAGAAGAAGCAACAGAGATCAGTTAAATGAGAGTTAAGACAAAATATTCGAGCTGACACTGATCAAATTTCATGTTGTGTCTTTGCACCTGTGTTGCCATACCAGGCTGAAGTAAGTTAGTTATTGTCTCTTTAAACAGCCACTTGAGTAACACAAAAGATAAATTAAACAATAGGCCAACTTCTCAGTTATGCAAGATCAGTCCTTTTTATACATGAGCTCTTTCAGAGTTACCAAAGTTACAAATGTCACTGTGTACTCTGTGTTTGGGGTGTTGCTTCACTGAAAGCGGCTCGTATGTTTGTCTTGTTCGTGCACAACTGTGTGATAACCTTTGTAAAGAGAGAAGGGATATTGAAAGCAAAGCAATTGATTGACTCACAGACCAACCAGAGGCATAAACTTTGTTCACGGGACATAAAAATAAACCGCACCTGAATGCTTTTGTTTTTTGTCTGTTTGGATCGAGAAGAAAAGTTTACCCAGAAAGCCAAGCTTGCCCATTGTCTGGAAACACACACACATACGCACACACGCTTGTACAAAGTTGTTGTTGGTGTGAGCAGTTGGATTTGAACATACTACAGGGTGGAGGTGTACAGTGTGTCATTGTTATTGATTTTTAAAGCAATACCACAACACAAGGATATCGCCATATGACCACATTTATGTAACATGACATTTTTCTGACCCGTAATCCAGATAGAATTACAGTAACTAAGTAGGCAGGGCTCCGGGATTTTGGTGGGAAAACATTTTCACAGGGCAGAATAGCTACAGAGAGGGTTGAACCTGTGACATTTAGGTAAGGTGATGGTCCCATCAAGCATTTTGCCACATGCTGCTGCATGCTTCAGATGTTTTCCTGCTTGGAAAGAGAGCCAGCACCTGAAAATGTCCTGTCTGGTAGCCAAATTATGGTCTTTTATGTCCAAGCATTTCATTCTTCACACAAGGGTGTCGAGAGACACAGAAGTAAATCCATAAAGGAAGGATAGAGAAAAAACTTGAATGTTTTATATGGTGTTAGAAAAACACTGACCCTACATGAACTTTCTTTGCTTTCATAAATATTTGCTGAATATTTGTATCCAAGTAATTAGAACCATTTTATCACATTCTGAATTAGTTCACCATCATGGTTTTATTGTGCAGAAAATAGGGGAAAAAATAAAAAAAATCAGAGGTAATATTGTGTGAGCTCAGATCAGAGACTGAACTGAATACGTAATAATAATAAGTGGAACCAGCATCAGTTGAGGCAAAAATCAAAGTTGTGTATGGCTCCAAAAAACGATTATTTTTATTATTAATCAACTGGATATTTTCTCACTTAAAAGTTTTGTCTAAAATCATTGCAGCTCTAAAGTCGTAAATGAAGGCGTTTCTAATTCCAAACTAATCTACAGCAACATTGATTTTCCTGGCCACTTTGGGGCACCGGAACAAGCTGTAAACACAACATGTATTATCACCTCATAAAGGTGGGATGGGAAATGTAACATGGAGTAAAGTAAGAGAAGCATTAGCATTTCTGGGAGACATGCCACCTGATAAATGTAAATCCAGTATTCAGTCTCCTTTTAGCTCTGTTTTGGTCTCCACCAACTCCAGAGAAAAATGGCTCTGTAGCAAACTAGAGGAGAAGGGGAACTGCAGAGTCAGGTGATAATATAACATTGATATGTGCAGCTTTAATTACTGGTCTTGATTCGCCATTAGAATTGTGTTCATACTTGACAGTGGGAGGACTTAACTGATCTGCTTTTAATACTACCACACGCTGTATGATTTACATTCAAATATAGGTTTCCATTTCATTAGCTGATAGTCTGTGTGTGTCAATATTTGATAATACATTATTTATATCCTTGAATGTTAATGATCAGCTGAGGGTGGTGTCCCTTGCAAACTAGACTGATGGTGGGTTTGTGTGTATACATTGGCATGTGACTCTAGTGAATGTGGTCCGGCCCAGTGTCATGTTGTATGTCTTGACTCAAAATAGAGTTATCGGAAGCTCAGAGGAAAGGACAGAGAGGGGGGTCAAAGAAACTGAGTAGTTCATTGACATTTATCTCCTCTCCTCGCTTCTTCACAAACTCTGGATGAGTAGCTGTTTTGAGCTGTGTTGCTAGGTTTCGATCTAGCCTTCAGGCCATTTTCATAGGTAAATACACCTGTGGTTCCAATGTAACCTTTATGTATTTCCAATGGTGAGAAGTTCCGTGCTTTACCAAGGTTGTAGTCAAATGAAAGACAAGCCCTTGACCTATGTTCAGCCTCGATTAATGTTTTGTATTATCTGTAGTAAAATGTCTTCCTGTGCTCTTGAGAGAACTGTTAGATCACTTCATTCTTTTTGTACAACAGAACCACATATTTTAAACTACATTTTATAGATATTAAAATCAGATGTCTGAAAGTAAGTGTCAGATTACAAAGTCATTACTGAGTGATCATCATATCATCAACTTTATTAGCCATACTTAATGTTAAGGTGTATTGTTGCTATAACCTTACTTGGTCTGGTATGACCAGTGCCTTTATGGCGGCTGATGTTACCTAATATAACCCAAGTGACAGCTCCCTGTGCTAATGATGCTATGTTTTAGCATTTAAAATTTCCCTTTAATTCCCACTTGTGGCTTCATTTGCAGCTTGGCTGCTCGCTTTAAGAACATTTGAGACGACAAACAGACCAGTCAAATGCTGCTTGGTCCTCATTTCTTCAGTCTGCTAATGCCATGATCGATGAGTTCAGTGCATACAAGTGGTGCTGTGATGAGGGTTAAATCCTCAAATGCCCCAGTGTACTCTCTGGAAATCCCTGGACTCATTTGGGATTTAATTGATGACTGGGTGGCTACAGCTGACGCTGTATCTTGTCCTTTTTGTGAGCGTGTATCTTAAAGGTATCGCCTCTCTCAAACAGTGTTATAATTCTGTGTGTGTGAAACATGCCTGGGCATGTCTCAAATGGTTTTGCTTGATTCTAAATGTCAATGTTTCTCGTATCAGTCAGTTCATAGTAGATTAGAAGATCACTAGAAGCACGCACAAAACTGAAACTGGTATTTTCTGGATAATAACACAGTAGCAGAATAATAGAGAACGTGTCTGTGTGGGGGGAAAAGTCTGACATGCCTTGCCCTTATCATGACATGTTGGTATAGTATTCAATTTTAACACAATAGATGGATTGATGGGTCCTTTGCTGAACTGGAATGGTTTGGTTCCTTATAATCGCAGATGAAATACTCTACTTTGTGTAATACTTTGTGTCGTAACTCCAAATAGCTCTCTGGATTGCGTCTGTTTGCACTGAGCTACTGAATCCTCATACTCCTCTGTGTCCGAACATTGAAATTTGATTTGCTCCTTGAAAATGTTTTATTATTACCTTTGCTTGCAAATATATGAGGTTTAGGGTGATTTATTAAACTTTGTCCAATTTTTAAAAAACACTTGCAATGTAAGCTTGAAGGAATTTCAACATTAGTTGTGTCATTAGTTCCTCTAATCTACAATCTAATATTGTACACACATCATTGTGAAACTTAGAGGAGAACACAGCAATTCCAGTTGCTCCTGTTTTTGCAATGCTAACACTTAACAAGGCAACCATGACTCACAACATACAGTTCAGCATGATTAATTATGCACTCCAAAAAAATCAGGTTCAGGAAATAGACCTAACCTTTCACACGAGTCTGTAATAAGACAGGAGTGAAGACAAGAGTGTTTCTATCAATTTGTACCTTGTTAAGGATTCATGCCTTTTTAAATCTCCTGACCAGCTGCTCAGGAAGAGCACACACAGATTATGAATTTTCTCATTTATCACGGTGGTTTGTCAGTTGTGGGTGTCAGTATGAGGCTCAGCCATTAAGAATTAGATCCTTAAATAAATCTTGTCACTCTTCACATAGCATCACCTGCGACTATGCCACATTATCTTCAGCTGGTTATTTATTGTAGATAACCGGGATAACTTTTCTTATCTCGTCAATATGTTCTCTGTCTCTCCAGGTAACACATTACAAACAGTACCCTCCCAACACGAGTAAAGTGTATTCCTACTTCGAGTGCCGCGAGAAGAGGACAGATTCCACCAAAAGCAGAAAAGTCAAATATGACAAAACGGTCTTCTACGGCCTACAGTACATCCTCCACAAATACCTAAAAGGTAAGTCCTGACTCAGATTTAAAGGTCCCATATTGTAGAAAGTGAGACTTCATGTCTTTTTTTTTTTTTTATTATAAAGCACGTCCAGGTGCTATATAAATACTGTATCAAAACACAGGGAGAAGTGCACACAGCCTGTATTGAGAAGCTGTGCCTTTAAATGGGCCGTCAGGACGGTCACTCCAACGTCATCAGATGACCCAGGGGTTTGCACCAGAATCGCCAAATCCAGCTGGAGCATTTTAGTCAGAATTTGACCATCTGTTCAGCTCATTTCAGCACTGACTGTACATTACCATTTGCATTTACCAGTGACTTTTACAAAGCTACAGTAGTATCTGTGGTTGGCCTGGTTGTGCGTCCCCCAGGAAACAGTCAGCCAATCAAAAGACAGGCTCAAAGACCGACACAAAAACGCCCTGTTCTTGCAAGAGCTCCGGAGTGTCAGAAAGAGGATGTAAAACTACATTGAGATGGTTTTTTGGTATTTAAAACACAAATTATATCTTCTAAACTTTAAATTAAAAAACAAAGTATAAAATATGTGTGCTTTTGAAATTCAAAAAGTTCAATATTTTGTACTGTGTAATCACTCAATAAATAAAAGAGTCCTTGAGCAGAACACATGAAGGTCTGACCTCCAACCCAGTAGGAGCTTCACTGGCTGCCAGACTGAATGACTTTGCAGCTTGTAAGTTGAAGCCTCATCCACTGCCACTGACTCTTCAGGCCTTTTGTGTAAATAAAAATGTGTTTCCAGTCAACTTAACAAATTAAATAGCGTAACATTCCTATGCTTGGATTACATAACCCAGACATAGACTTTGTTTTTCTTAACTTTTTCATTTGTTTCACCATCATACTGTGGAAAGCTGCACAGTATAGCCGCTATTTATTTTACCGCTGTTCGGTTAGTTTCATTTTTCAATCAGAAAAGATTTTTTAGCTGTAATTTACTGATGAGTTGTAGGTAAGAAAAAAAAAAAAAGTCAACACAACAACCTTTGTGGATCCTTCTGTGATACTTTATTGGTCCCTGTGGGGGAAATGTTTTTTTTTCTCTCTCTCTCTCTCTCTCCTCTCCAGAGCAAGGTCAGAGCACAGGGTCAGCTACTGAACAGCATACGTGGAGCTACTCAAAATTCAGTGCATTGCTCAAGGACACTTCAGCAGGGCAGGTGCTGGCTATTGTGGCCCACAGCAACAGTCCTTTTGCTCACTTAAAAACCAGCAAGGTTACAACGTGCTTCACTTAAATTAGGCTGCACAGAGCGTAACACAAAGCCAGCAGGTTACAAAGAAAAGCGTAAGTGAGAAAAGACTGAAATGAGGCAAAGTATAATGTCTACAATATACTAAATAAACAATATGCTCTAATTAACTCAACTTAGTAAAGGTGGATGTTTAAGTTGGTTAGTGTGATCCTGAGGGGCATGAGAGAGAGAGTGGGAGAGAGAGCAAGAGAGACAGAAAGAGAAGGAGTCAAAAGAAAGAAAGAAAGAAAGAGGGAATGCATCACCCTCCTGTCTCCTAAGAGGATTTCATGGTGCGGTAGCAGAGGTGTGGGGGGGGGGGACAGAGAGCCAGGGATAACAGAGGGAGAGAAGACAAAAGCACAGCTGCTCTTTCACCGTCTGAGGGAGAAAGGCCAGCTGTCTGCGCAGAGCGTCCCTCGGAGCTCAGTGATTAGGCCAATCATTAGAGATGCATCCTCGATCCACAAACTCACGGAAACCAAAAGTGCGCATCACAATTCTTCTAGACCAGAGTCAGAGAGTGAATTTTAATCTTCTCTAACTTTACTTTCGTGGAGGGAGGGGCTGAAAACGTGAATGGATAAAGAGATGAATCATAGTGAAAGCAAAACCTGTTTTATCACACCACGAGTGTTAACTGGATAGTCTTACATTAACGGGAAACATTTAATAGTTTTCCATTCAGCTCTGAATGGCAGGTAGTCATTTCTTTTTATTAGAAATTTATTTGGAAACGTGTTGATAAATGTAAAAACAGTAAATATGAAGCTGGAGCCAGCAGTCAGTTAACGTAGTTTAGGACAAAGATTAAAAAACAGTGGAAAAACTTCTAGCCTGAAAAATCCACCTACCCACATCTCTTGCATTTGTACATATCTTCTCTTTTGTGGCTTGTTTTGTGCAACAATGTCCATGGTATAGAAACTAGCCAAACTTGAAATGAAACAAGGGGGTGGTTTGCGTGTTTGTGTGTGTCTTTTTGGACAAAGATGCCTTGTCAGCATGCACGGGATGCTTCTAATTTAATTACACCAGCGGACAGTAGAGTCACATTCCAGTGCCTTCTCTCCGTCGGTATGTGTTTCCCCAACATCTCTCTCTGAACCTTCATGTCCTTCTGCTTTCTTCTCCCTTCCTCCCTCATTCCCCAACTCCTCCACCTCCTTCCTCCTCCTCTGCAGGAAAGGTCGTGACTCCGGAGAAGATCCAGGAAGCAAAGGAAGTATACAGAGAACACTTCCAGGATGACGTTTTCAACGAGAAGGGCTGGAATTACATTTTGGAGGTAAGAGACTGCTGAAAAATCTTTTTTCTTTTTTTCTTCTTTTTTTTTTCAGGTGAGGCTCTGCTGTTGTACAAAACAATTTTTATGCACATCTCTGCGTAACTTCCATGAGGGTTACAAGAGACTATTTTCAAGCAATGTATTAATTGAGAATAAAGCTGGAAGTTGGAACTAGGTATGGAGGTGTACATATACACAGGTGCCAGCACACACTGATGTTTGCACATGAAACATCCTGACGGTGATGTGTCTATTGTCAGAGACGCTAGAGGCCGGTCTCAGGCATGCACGCACACACTTAAGACATACAGCGTGTTCCTGATAAACCCAAATAATGTACATAGAGCAAGGTTGGAATCTAATTACTGGAGAATTGAATTTGTTTCTAGATTAGGTTTAAGGTATTTGTAGCAGTTTTTGATCATAAAACCTCACTGTCATAAGGGTCACATTCTTCTGTAGCAAAGTGGGGCAAAAATAAACAAAAGTGTCTACATTTTCACAGGTGGCTTGGTGGTTAAAAGCCAGTTCTTATAAAAAAAAATGTTCCTGATGTGTAATAAACACACGCTAAAGTAATAAAAATCTGAACCACATTCGGCCCTGTGGAGGAGAGAGAGGCTAAACTCTTACTTGAGATACAAGTCGGGATCATCAACTAGAAATGAATCCGTCAATTTATGTATCCAAGAAAGTGTGAACGCAATGTTTCTGATGATTGGGAGGCACAGTTTCAGCACCTTGGAGAGAGCACAGCGCTCTGTACTGACAAAGGATTTTCTCGAGTGAGGAGAAGTGTTAATAAACCCTTATTTACACTCAGTCTTCTTGTCATCTCTTACCACATTTCTTAATCAGCTCTCAATCTGTCATCTTTTTTTTTTTTTTTTTTAAGTTTTTTGCAAATCACTCAGCCTTTCATGTTGTTAATCTATGAACCAGCACACGAGGCCTACATCAAGCATACAAATGTTGGTCAGCTTTGGAGGCGGTATGTGTTATGGTATAAACTATGATCTCCTAGTTGCAGATTCAGTTTCTTTCATCCAATGCACGCTTTGTATTTCAATGTGAAATACAACACAAGATTTGGAAAACTTGCTTCAGGCCAGGTTTGAAACGCAGGAGCTCTGTGTGTGTGTGTGTGTGTGTGTGTGCGCGCGCGCGCGTGTGTATATTTAGCAGAATCTCACTGCCTTTCCACATAGCACCAGGTGTGAAGCACATGTCTGAAGGTTAACTCTCACCAGTCTCCTTCCTCTAAGTCATGTCGCTAAAAATAAAAACACTCTTTACAAGCCACAGAGAAGAAGCTGTGACAGTGTAAACCGGATTGTAATTCTGATATCTGTGTATGCGTGTGTTTGTGCTTACAGAAATACAATGGACACCTGCCCATTGAAATCAAGGCAGTGCCAGAGGGGAGTGTCATTCCTCGAGGCAATGTTTTGTTCACAGTGGAGAGCACGGACCCTGAATGCTACTGGCTCACCAACTGGGTGGAGGTAGGTTGGTGTTTGTTTGTCCTCTGGGCCCAGAATGACACAGGTGTGTTATTCTGTTACTGTCCCTTTAAACTTGGGGTCCATTACTTTAGGAAGTTTGTAAGACTAGGGCATGGTGTGCATGCATTGTGGGAAATGTAGGATTCAGTGTTTTATTTTTTGGATCTTGACCCATACTGCAAACTAAAAGTCTGTGTCTCAGTCTCTTGGATTTTGACCATTGTTATTTTTTATTCTTATGAGTCCCCTGACTTTATGGAAGTGCAGAACTAATGGATGGTATCAGTCTCCAGTTTTGGATTAGCTTTATCATGTAAAAGACGGTTGTAAATTTCGTGCCCCTATACCTTCATATAACAGTTAAATCTTTAATGTGCTCCTCGGATTGCTACTAAAGCAACAATGCAAAGCTTATCAGTAGGATTTAATTGTTAGCTCTGTTTTTCGTATTGATTAAAGACAAAAGATATTAGCAATATTTATGCCCTTTTTATTACATTGTTGAGTTAATAGTTTTATAAAAATCCATAAACTATGTTGCTTGGCAGCAGGCCTAACGGCACTTCTTATCTCTTCTTCTTCTTGAGGCCCACTGAATTACAGTCCTGCCATGGCCTGTTGCTTAATCACCGCTCAGAGATGTGCTGTCACTGCAGCAAAGTGATTCATACAGGTTGGCTGAGATCAGAGAGTCAGATGTTGGAACAATTCTTGCGTGGTGTTTTTGTAGTCCACAAAATGATTTAAGTCCTGAATCAACCCCTTGCTCAGACCAATGTTCTTTTCCCTGAAGCATCACATCTCTGAAATGATTCTAGACGCAGTGCAGAGTGTTTGTCGTCTTTATTCACTTCAATCAATCAATCAATCAATCAATCAATCATTCAGTCATGTTTGTGGGCTGCAATCTGGTTGAATTATTCATGAAAGAAATAGTTCAACATTTTAGGAAATATGCTTATTTTGCTTTCTTGCTGAGGCGAGTTAGATGAGCAGATTGATACCTCTCTTATGTCTGTACAGTAAATATGACGCTGGAGCCAGCAGCCAGTTACAGCTATCCTGGCTGTGTCCATAGAAAACAAAATCTATGTACCAGCACCTCTGAAGCTCACGAAGTACAACTAAGCATTATATATATACTGTACATATATATATATATATATTCACACAAAACCTAAAGTGTACAACCATCGATTTGTTGGTCTACAGGGGGTTATGTGCTGAACTACGTCTTAGCCTTAACTTCTTCTCCGCTGGTTGCCCAGCAACTGCTCAGAGAGAATTGTTGTTGTTACACTTAGATTTTTGTATGAATTAAACAAGATATAGTGTGTTAGTCAGTGAGCATTAAAGGAGCTGGTAGGTGGATATTGTTACCTTCGGACAAAGTCAGACTAAATGTTTCCCCCTGTTCCCAGCCTTTGTGCTAAGCTAACAGTACCAACTTGTGTCTTTAACCCTCACATGCATACTGTATCAAGTGACATCAGAGAATACAAACACTGTCGTCAGTTTGAACTCCAGCCTCTTCGTTATATTTATGACACTGGGCTAATGCACAGTGTGACTCCTCCCCGGGATCAGAAACATCTCATGAACTTAATGCTGCATGAACAGACTGTCTGCAGTGACTCGGCAGATCTAAATTCACTTACCCTGTGCAGGAAGTGCTCTCTCTTATCTTTCACCATGTCAGCCCTGTTTATCAACATCTCGTTTGACTTTTTGCACAGATTATTCATGCAGTGATTCTTTAGAATATGATTAAACAAAAACGATATGCTTTCATTGTTTCGATCCGTGTATACAGGAATAAAGCTTTTGACATGATGTACAATATAAGTCTTGTAGACACATTTTTAAGCAAATTAGCCTGAAGGTTCCTGACTCTCTTCTGCATTTGGATCAATAATCTGATACACACACACTCACCTATAATGACAAATACAACAGTAAAATGAAGGACTGCTTGGACATGGGTCACCCACAGCCAAGAGCACTGTGACAGCACACATACACACCCACTTAGTCAGTCTCAACAGCTGATATAAATACATCCATGAACACACACACATACACACACTCATTCTTCATGGCTGATGTAAAATTAGCTGTAGCATTCTGCCTGGTGTCCTTGGGTTGCGTCATTAGGTCAAACTTTCTCTTTCTCCTTCACTTTCTCTTTTTCTTTTTACTTTCTGTCATTTTCTTCTCATCCTGTTCTCCTGTTTTCTGCATCTGTCATTCTGTATTTTCTTTTCTTTTTTTTTTTTGCTTTCTGTTTTGTTCACCCTACGTTCCTCATTCTTACCCTTCTTGTCCTTCCTTATCTCCCTCCATTTTGTTTTGGGACGTTGACCGAGAAGTTATGTGGGCATGCAAGCGTGTTTGTGTGCGCTTGAGTGTGTGTGTGTGTGTGTGTGTGTGTGTGTATGTGTGTGTGTGTGTGTGTGTGTATGTGTGTGTACACACAGAGTTGTTTTTACCGTCCTTCCTTCCTCATTTTACCATTAGAGATATGATCTCTCCCGAACTGTCATATGGTGATCACATATTGTATTTTAAATTATATAAATGCCACAATCATTTCGATTTTTAGTGAATATTAAAGTGAAAACAGAAACACAATTCATGTTTTACAATTGAAAGTCAGTCATGAAAAGTAAACAGACTTACCTAAGGCCCACCTTTATCTACTTTCAGTCATATTCTAGGTTTATAATATGACTGACGTCAGTTAAATGTGACTTGTTGATTCCTCGAAAAAGGTTATGACCTTTTGCCTGTGTGTGTGTGTGTGTGTGTGTGTGTGTGTGTGTGTGTGTGTGTGTGTGTGTGTGTGTGTGTGTGTGTGTGTGTGTGTGTGTGTGTGTGTGTGTGTGTGAGTGAGTGTGAACCTTGGCTTGGTAGTCACATGAGTCCATATTATGGTTTAGATTATGATTCATCTGAAGAGGCATGTGACCTACTCAGGGTTACAGGGTGAAAAACACACTCCATAGTATTAGTAGGCCAAGTCAAAGATGTGATTTTTTTTTTTTTGTTTTTTGTATTTTTGCAATCCCTGAGGGGGAGGAAACATTGCTGTGCTTCTGGTATTTAGGAGTTTTATTTAATGAGGTTTCACACACACACACACACACACTTAGTTGTCATTCCTGTTATAAACACAGCTTCATATGAGTCATGACATGTGGCAGTCACACAGTGTAATTACATAATAATATGGGTTTCATGTGGTAGTGTGACCCAGTAGTCAGCGTATTAGGTTTCTCTTTCCTGGAGCGGAAGTAACTGATGACACTGTGATTAAATGGTTAGACTCTGATGTGTAATCTGGTTTTACTGCATCTTAGATTTGACTCTTACATACTGAAAAAATGAAAATCAAATATAGTGCCTTTGCTTAGTAAGGGGTACGGACAAAAACATAGACTGTTGAACCATCACATATACATACGCGTGCTGTACCATGCAGATCGTGTGTTTTCATAAAATTTCCGAGGTGGTGGTGAGTACAGATAAGCCACTTGTTTTCTTATTGAAATCTATGACTCTGGTCCAGAGTTGACATGCGGCATCGAGGAATGTACTTTTCCCAGAGTTTGTCTTGTGTGAATGAGCACCCTCTTTGATCCCTCTGAGCCTGTTAGTTTTGGATATTAGTGCCTGTTGAATACTGGGAAAACAGGACAGTTGGACCAGACATTCACTGGTCTGTTCAGTACTGAAAAGAGACTTTTAACTTCTAATTTTGCTGTTTATTTGTTTTTTTTTAAGACTTCACAGGCTTTGAAAACAGAGAGCCTTTTTGTCTAAGAGTTGAGAGATTTAATTTTTTTTTTTTTTTTTTGCCTTTATTATGATATTTAAAGTAGAGATATGGGAAAGTTAGGGGAGAGAGGGAGAGGATGACATGCAGCAGAGGGGCCAGGCTGGATTCGAACTCGTGTCTCTGCAGTAAGGACGCTGCCTTAATGGTACGCACTCTACCAGCTGAGCTACAGGGGCACCCTGAGAGACACTTTTAATCATACGTGCACCTGGGAAATCAGAAGAAGTGAACCTTAGCAGTGAAACACTGACACTCTGAAATGAAAGTAAAGACTTGAAGTGAACTGGACTCTTTGTTTCTTCCTTTCTTTCTCTTTCCATCAGACCATCCTGGTTCAGATCTGGTACCCCATCACCGTGGCCACCAACTCCAGAGAGCAGAAGAAGATCCTCGCCAAGTACCTCCTAGAGACTTCTGGGAACTTGGAGAGACTAGAGTATAAACTACATGACTTTGGCTACAGGGGCGTCTCATCACAAGAGGTATACTTATATATTCAATATAGTAGATATTGTTAAGGCGGAATTCTATTCTTACCCTTCAAACACTGGGAAGTTTGTTGTTTTTTTGTTTTTTTTTTAAGCACACCAACAAATACGTTGAAAACAAAATAAATGTTGTACTTGAAATTTCATTCGTGACTTTAGTTTGACAAAAACAATCTCAACTCAAGTTCTACTTACTAGATCTTTCCTGAGCTTTCAACAGTATCAAATGGTCTTAATCAGCAAAGTCAAGTTTGCTGGAGATGGATCTGTTGACAGAGGATTCACCCATACAACTTCCAGGACCTTGAAAATACTTGTTTGGCAAAACAGTGCCAACTCATGGTCCTAATACAAGCTTTCCTCAGAGCTTTCAACCATATCACCTGTGGTGTGTTATGAATAAAAACTCAGAAAAAAGCTAGTAAGAGTACCTTGAGTTGGGATCTTTTGTCAAAAAACTGAATGTAGCTTGAAATAAACCGCAGCCAGTCTTTTAATATAATACGCAAAATTGAAAAAATGCAGGAAGGGAGGTCTTTGCTATTTATCTTTCATAACCCCTCCCCCACCTGTTTGCAGACTGCAGGCATCGGGGCCTCCGCCCATCTGGTCAACTTCAAGGGCACAGACACGGTCGCAGGCATCGGAGTCATTAAGAAGTACTACGGCACCAAGGACCCTGTGCCAGGCTTCTCAGTGCCTGCTGCAGAACACAGGTAGACACACACATACACACTTCTCTCAAGGTTTTATTTATTTAATGTGGCCTATTGAAGCTTTGACCGCGCTAAGAGACAGATTATCTCCCAGTGTAGCTGCAAAGTGTTTCCGGGCTTTCACAGTAGATGTAGAGGCACCGCTTTCATTGTGATGTAGGGCAGTAGTTCACCACCTACTTTAATTATTACACCAGTCATGTAAGAACTCAGAGTAAAGACGGGTGTCTGCTGGAGTGCTCATCACTCCTCTTAAGGGATATACAAAGCTTGCAGAGACCTTAAGTGTAAAGCATGAATTCCTGTGCACAGCGGTAATTATGAGCACAGGCCGTGTATTCACACATTCCCAGAAAGCACCAGGGGTACAGTAGGCACGTCTCGACTCCACTCATCTCCAGTTTTGCCTCTGGTGAGATAGTCCACATTGTGGCTAAGAGCCAAATTTGAAAGCAAACTTTTTCCATCCACAAGACAAATTGATTTTCAAAATAGAAAACTTGCTCCATTTAATGGTTGGTTATCTGCCAAAGCTGTTGATGGAGGGACTATTATCAGCCTGAGTGAGAGTGTAACAAGTAATTGGCTGAGGTCAGTGTTAATTTGCTAGTCTGATTAGAGCTTGGTCACCCTCACACTCATTATCTGGTCTTTCTATCTCAGTTTGTGAATGAGGCTGTGACTGGCTGGAGGTGAGGGTTTTGATTGGCTGCTGCTGTGACGAACATACCCTCATATGTTCCTGGTGTTGTTTTATGGCAGACATACACACACACACACACACACACACACACACACACTTTCTCTCCCTTTCTGTTTCGTTCTCATACACACACAGTTCCCTCTTCCTCACCACCAGGGCAGTTAATGCTGCTCCACTGCACCCTTCTTCCCCGCTCCAGTGCATTATGGGATGGTGGCAGGAGTTGTCATAGTAACCGTTATGCAATGGCCCCCTTCGTAAAATGTGTTTGGTTTCCATCTCAGAGGGAGGAGTTGCAGTGAAATTCCACTTTGATTTTGATTTAGAAGGAAGGAAAAGGGAGCGGTGCTTTTAGAGTGTAAAGTGTGTCACCTGCAAAACTTTGAGTCACTTCAAATGTTTGCTGTAAATTCAATGTAACAGAAATACCCTCTGTCGAAAAATCTAAACAAATGGATGCATAGAAAGTCATGTTAAACAATGTTAAAAAAAAAATAATAATAATTTACAGACAAGTAAATAGTCAAATATGTCCTGTGAAGAAACTGCCACCTGTCTCCATTTGTCAAATAGTATTCAGACATATACCACCTATCTGAGTCCCATAGTTTGAGTCTCATGGGCACTATATCTTTAGTACATGAAACCAAAAGCAAAATTCCAGTTGCCTTGATTTCATTGGGACGGTGTCTCATATCACAGCACATTAAAGTGAGACTTTGACCTTTTCATGTTTCATGTCACGGCACAAACACCACCCTTCGTGGCAGCAGGTAAAAGTAACAAGTAGGCAACATATTTAGATCCATAAAACATAATGCAATTTGCCAGTATATGATGCACCTAGCTATGAGGCCTGAATTCCCCTTAAGCCCATTTATTATCATCATCTTCATGCATCCTTCAACTATTCAACAGTCTTTAAAGCTACACAGCGAAGAGTAAAAATAATATGCCCTTGCCCCAGTATCAGTGGATTAAGTAATGAATTAACTAATCTCTTCAGCCCTCTCTTCAGAACCCTTTAATTGTTATTTACATGTGATTTCTTTGCTCTAATGCCTTACCTAAAAACAGTTTCACATCTTGTTCCTGAGTTGGTTCAACAAAGAAATACAATTTGGCTCATGTTTGGTTTCATCGAGGTCTAAAACCTGGAGTGCGCTGCCCTCTTCTGGGTGAACTGTGGCATTATCATTTGATGACTGTCTTGTGACTCTCTTTATTATGAGAGAACGTTTTCCCTGGAACTCGCCCCTCCTCTCGTTCAGTCTGTCTCCTGCTTCTGGAGTCTTTCCTCCTGACAGATAACTAATCTAACGTTCCTGCTACTTTGCAGGGTTTTCATTTGAATGACCTCTTTCCACTTCAGTATTTTGACTTTCTTATTTCGTTTATCTGTTTCCTCTCCACCCATCCACTTTCTTGCTGTTAAAGCTCTTACTCGTTGTCTTCTATATTTTGAATTAATGTTGGGGTTTTCTATTTACTAGTTTAATTCTGTATTAAAAAGCACAAACCCTGAATACCAGTCACAAATGTCTATATTATGTTATAGTTTTGATCAGCTGTATGTGAAGAGAAATGATTATAGAGCAATAAATAACTTCTCTACCGTCCTCTCCTCAGTACCATCACAGCGTGGGGAAAAGACCATGAAAAAGATGCATTTGAGCACATCATCAAACAGTTTCCCAGCGTGCCCGTATCCATAGTCAGCGACAGCTACGACATCTACAATGCCTGTGAGAAGATCTGGGGAGAAGACCTACGGGGGCTGATAGAGAAGCGCAGTGCAGATGCTCCGCTGGTTGTCCGGCCAGACTCAGGAAACCCTCTTGATACTGTTTTGAAGGTGAGCTCATGTGGCCAGCTCGGCTTTTAAACTAGCATCTTAAAACAAGCCAGGAGACTACCCCTCCCCTCTCTGTACCACCTTCCTACTCTTCTCTTCTTGTACGTCTGTCAGGTTTTGGAGATCCTGGGTAAGAAGTTTTGTCCAGAGGAGAACTCTAAAGGATTTAAGGTTCTCCCTCCTTACATCAGAGTCATACAAGGAGACGGAGTTGATATCAACACACTGCAAGAGGTAGAGACACATGAACAATTTGGTTACATCTGTCACCATATCTTTACATACACTATGTCGACAGCAAGTTTTGACTGTGTATGTTTTTCCACAGATTGTGGAGGGTATGAAGCAACACAGGTGGTCCATTGAGAACATTGCCTTCGGCTCCGGAGGGGCTCTGCTGCAGAAACTGACCAGAGATCTGCTCAACTGTTCCTTCAAATGCAGCTATGTGGTCACTAATGGACTAGGGGTGAGGACTGGCACACTCTCTGTTTTTTTTTTGTTTGTTTTTTGGGTTTTTTTGGTTTTTTTTTTTTTTTTTAAAGCAGCTATTAAATTTTAGTGACCATTTTGGAACAGTGTGGTGTTTAAATAAGACACAAAAAATGATCAACAATGATGGTAATGTAACAGTTTGCAAGTGGGTGTTGAGCGTTGCATGTTTTTGTCCAACACATTAATTTCGATGTGCATTTCGCTTGTTTTAGGTGTCTATTTTTAAGCGAGACACATAATAAGTACAAGACTTGGCTTTAAACTTTGTCTGAATTTCCTGTTTTGTTTTGTTTTGTTTTGTTTTTTTTTTTGTCAGTAACAGAGCATGATTTGAAATTCCCTCTCCGTTTAAATCTGACATTGTTTTCTGTGTTGTGAGAAA